TTATCGTATTGAATGGGTACATAATGACCTATGTACCAAAATATAAAAGTATTTGATGGGGTTTATATATACCCTTCATTTGACTGAAAGGTCATATTATATATTGAGTGTTAATAGGTAACATTAATTTTGTGTGTGTGTAGGTGTGTTTGTGGGAACCAATGTCTTAGGTATAGTTCTATCATTGGATGTAATATTTTTTTAGTTTATTTGGTGAAAAGTCATTTAGTGCTTTATTTCTATGTATGATCCAGTTTGTTCTGTATGAACAAATGCACATACACGTATGTGTGTATGAGCATGCGTATATATGTATATATATATATGTGTATATGTGTGTATATATGTAATATATTATATGTGTATGTATATGTATAATATATATATATATAGTATATGTTTGTAGGACTCATTCCTACATGTTTTCTATAATGACTCCGACTGTTTGTTTGGAAGTCGGTTGGTTGGGTTTTTTTTAGTAGAATTTGTTATATCAATGTGTTACAATGTTTTTTTTGTGTATCTGACATTGTCTGCCACTTCTGTTTTGGATGTTATGTATTTAGTTTGTCTAGTTTTTTTTTTTTAGTGATAAGTCTTTTTTTTTTTGTTTGTTTGTTTGTTCTAGTATAATCCAGTCTGTGCTGTAAGAACATATGTGCACTTACATGTATGTGTATATGTGCATGTGTATGTATATACATATATACATGATTATAGGACTTATTCCTACATGGTTTATGACTCCGACGTTCTATTTTGTAGTCGGTATGTTTTTTTTTTCCCGTAAACGGGTTGGGTTTCTTACGGTAGAATTTCGTTATATCAATATGTTAAAATGGTTTTTTTGTTTATTGTAGTGTACTGACATTGTCTGTCACGGTTTTGGATTTGCTAATTGTCGGCTTGTATCAAGTGTAATGTTGTTTTTAAATAAAATATAAAAAAAAAATTACACTAACTGGCTGCTGTGATTTATATCAAGAAATTTAAGCAACGGGAGACCAGGTCCACACATCATTAGGACTGGATGTAAATATACTGGAGAACACAGAGAGTAATGACAAAATTAATCCCGCGAACATCTTACAATGAAGAGAGATCTGAACTTACGCTCTTATGAAAAACGTAGGATGGAGAGAGATATGATACACGTGAAGATAGATATAAGTAAAGGATATGCAAATAGGGTGCTGAAATTACCTAAATAATAAAGAACTCGAAACAATGGATTCAAGTTTAATAAATTCAAGATTAGAAAAGATATAGGAAAGTACTGATTTGGACAAATATATGAGTGAGAATGGGTTTGAGAAAAACCTGCCTAACATGGGCCAGTAAATATACAACAGAGAGAGAGAGAAAGAGAAAGAGAGAGGGGGGGGCCCAAATAAAGAAAAATATAAGATAAGGGAAGGAATACAAAAGTGCATACAAGCAGCAAGCTGAAAAAAAAAAGAGAGGGAGCCTTGACATGTGGGTCATTCCACAGTTGTTAAAAACAACAGGTGTCGCCACACTCCACAAAGATGGCATCAAAACAGTTTTAAAGAATAATGAACCGATGGTACTGACATCCCACATTATAGAGCAAGGCCTGCTCTAGCATAAAAAAATGGTTATAACTATGACCATAATTTTTAGAGGGGTGGACCGGTAAGCCAGCGGAAGGCCTTGGTCAGATGATCAAAAGCTCCAACGGCGGGTCATCATCTGACTAAGACCCGCATCAGGAAACACTTGTCCTGTTTCCTGACGAACCTTACCTAACCTGGCCTCTAGCATGTGCAGAGTCCGTAGGTGCTTGAAGCACTTATCCTGAGAGAGGCAGAGCTTGCTCTGTCACATATAGAGCCTCGAGGTATAAAGGACGGGGACGGAACAGGTAAAGAGACTGAAAGTCTGTTGTTCCCCCTCCCAAGCAGAAGCTCTCTTTAGGAGAACTTTTTCGGTTTACCTGGAGTTTAGCAGGAGAGAGTTCCGGGGGTCAACGCCCCCGCGGCCCGGTCTGTGACCAGGCCTCCTGGTGGATCAGAGCCTGATCAACCAGGCTGTTACTGCTGGCTGCACGCAATCCAACTTGCGAGCCACAGCCCGGCTGGTCAAGTACCGACTTTAGATGCTTGTCCAGTGCCTGCTTGAAGACAGCCAGGGGTCTATTGGTAATCCCCCTTATGTATGCTGGGAGGCAGTTGAACAGTCTCGGGCCCCTGACACTTATTGTATTGTCTCTTAAAGTGACACCCCTGCTTTTCATTGGGGGAAAGTTGCATCGTCTGCCAAGTCTTTTGCTTTCAAGAATATCCGAATATATTTTCTTACCGGTCACCAGAAAGGAAGCCATAATCTCATATCATGGCCCACCCCTGCTGGAGACAAGCTCATTATGCAAGGAATTGGATTTGACCTTCCCTTCCATAGATCAAACCTTATTACCTCTCATGCCCCCCATGCACTTTCTGACTCCTATGGTGAGAGGCTTTTGATCTGAGGAGCTAAACCTGTCCTCTTTCCTTCTATCAAACTTCATTTTCTCCCATTCCTCCAGGGACTATTGGACCTCTATACATTTATCTCCTCCCCATAAATATAATAATATAATCCCGGTGAGCTAGTTTAATTGTTAGCGCACACACTTCACACACTGAGGTCCGGGGACCGATCCCCAGTACGGGTGGAAATATTAGGACGTGTTTCCTTAAGACACTTGCTATCCCTGTTCACCCATCAGTAAAATAGGTACCTGGGTGTTAGTCGACTGGCGTGGGTCGCATCCTGGGTCGAAAATTGACCTAATTTGCTCTGCATAACAAAGAGCAATCTATATAGTAGTATATAAATAAATAGTATATAAATAAATATCACTGATGTCAGCTAGGTCTGCATACCTTGTATAATATAATAAATAATATCTATTTCTGCAAGGTATACAGGCCTAGCTGACATCAGTGACATACTACTATATAGATCGCCCCTTGTTATGCAGAGCATTTCGGGAAAACTAGGTCAGTTTTGTCCCAGGATGCGACCCACACCGGTTGACTAACACCCAGGCACCCATTGTTACTGATTGGTAAACAGAGACAGCCGGTGTAAGGAAAAACGCCCCATGTTTTCACCCTTGCCGGGAATCGAGCCCGGATCCTCAACGTGTGAAGCGAGAGCTTTTGCCACCATGCCATGGGACACCGCACATGTACATGTACTTATAGAAATAAAGATTTATTATTATTATTATTATTATTATTATTATTATTATTATTATTATTATTATTATTATTATTATTGTTGTTGTTGTTGTTGTTAATGGCCCAACGTTGGTCAAGGACCCCACTGGAAGTAAGTCAATTTGTTTGACTTTTTGGGGGGAATTATCCTAGATAATTTACACTATGTATGATAACTGTACTTAAGTGTACCTGAACCTAAATAAACTACCTTATTGTTAGCAATTAAGGCGACTGTGGAAAATATTTTAATTTTCCGAAGCTATAGTGCCTAATAGGTGTTTAATGTGTCGATATGGGTCAAAAATGTATTTGAAAATAGGATAGAACCAAGAGTTCCCTTTGCGCCTGTGCGGGTGTGCGGGGGTAGAGGTCGACTCGGGTCATGGGAGAGGCGGCAGTGTTTTGAATGGGTTTAAGAGGCTGTGAAAACATGGGACCAGGAAATTGGCGTTCACGGCGGCCTAAGGATTAATATAGGCCTCACTTCATAATAGGAAGTGTCGTGACTGTCCCTGGTGAAGAGTGAGGGAACGTGATTGACGGCACCGCTGTAAATAAGGTGGTAAAATGAGTGAATAATGGTAGGACCGGTGGTGACTGGCGCACCGCCATGGACTGTGTCCCGGGGAAAAATACCCGTGATTTAATCATCACTCATCGGTCTCAAATCTTAATGGAGTGGCCTCCAATGTGTATAATAATTATGAGACATTAAACCGTCTTGTAAATCGTAATGTAATCAGTGATAATAATACTAAGTTAAGGAATCGTTGAAGCGATATGAGCTGCCATTCCCAGAGTGTGTGCACATGTTTACCTCGTTGTTCCTGTCCCGAGGATAGTGAAGGTTTTATGGAGTCACGACTTCTAAACCGGGACAAACCGACGGATATCTCATCCTGCTGGAATAAGAACCTTGTCGGTGTAGCAGGACATTGAAATGAGATGGTGAATGGAGGAAATAAGGAGTATCAATCACCCACAGTTAAGTAACCCTTCTAGTTATAGCAGACTGATACTGGCCGGTTAGGTATGTTGTAATTGGATAGGTTATGAGTGATCCAGCTACATCAAGTGACCACCAGAGAATATCTGGTAAGTGGTGAGATTATGTACAAGTGATAAGATAAGATAAGATAAGATTTCGTTCGGATTTTTAACCCCGGAGGGTTAGCCACCCAGGATAACCCAAGAAAGTCAGTGCGTCATCGAGGACTGTCTAACTTATTTCCATTGGGGTCCTTAATCTTGTCCCCCAGGATGCGACCCACACCAGTCGACTAACACCCAGGTACCTATCTGCTGCTAGGTGAACAGGACAATAGGTGTAAGGAAACGTGTCGGAATTTCCACCCGCCGGGAATCGAACCCGGGCCCTCCGTGTGTGAAGCGGGAGTTTTAGCCACCAGACCTTGATGGATATATCCATGTGTAACCTACCCCCTCCTTCATTCAGTTACACTAATATAATCTATACAGTCCACAATTAATTAGTAGCACCGTACTTGTGGGTGCTATCTAATCCATACTGGTCTCGGATAGATATGGATAAGATTGTGAGGTCAAAGGAACCACCTGCCGTGACCAGAGGTGGTTAAGTTTTCTCACATGTCTACACGGGGTGACTGCGGTAAACAATATGGTTGTCTCCCAATGAGTTTACTTGTATGCATGTAATGTTGAGGTACATAAAGGTAATCACCCTAGAAAATTTTCCATAGCGACCCTACAGGACCTATAAGGGACGCCATGAGAGGCAGGAGTCGAGACGGTGTCAGGTGCCAGGGGCCCTATAAACCCACAACAATAAGTGCACTCACACCATGTACAAGTGACTCGTACTCACCTAGTTGTACTCATCTAGTTGTACTCGCCTAGTTGTGGCTGCAGGGGTTGATTCATAGCTCCTGGCCCCGCTTCTTCACTAGTAAGTGAAGTAGGAGTGAAATGATAATTATAACCATAATTTTTTAAAGGGGCGGAGGGGTAAGCCGGCGGAAGTTCGATCGCTAACACACTCGGCTCACACACTGAAGTCCAGGGGTAGATCACCGGTACGGGTGGAAATATTAAGACGTGTTTCCTTAAGACACTTGCTGTCTGTGTTCACCCGTTAGTAAAATTGGTACCTGGATGTTAGTGGATTGATATGGGTCGCATCCCGGGTCAGAATTGACCTAATTTGCCCGAAATGCTCTGCATAATAACATGTTGGTGAGGGGCTCTTGATTTAGGGAATTGGATCTGTGCTCCAGTTCCCCGAATTAAGCCTGAATGCCTTCCACATTCTCCCCCAGGTGCTGTATAATCCTACGGGTTTAGCGCTTCCCCCTTGATTATAATAATAATAATCTGCATAATAACGAACTTTCTATATAGTAATAATTAATATTAGTATCTTTATTTCTACATGTAGTAGTATACCACTGATGTCAGCTAGGCCTGTACATGTACTTGTAGATATAATTACATAATACTTGTACTAATATATACCTTTCAAGAGAAGCTACCTTGTTTTTATAACTTTTGTCTTATGCTTTTCTTTGGTACTGTGTACAGTATCAAGTAACTTGTGTAATTCTAACCTAAGTTAGTAAATTGTTGGCCTTGGCTCTTTTTAATATACTGTGCATTTGAAAGGCCCTCACAGGCATATGCTCTGCAAATAGCCTACGCTTTCTGTGATTTGCAAACCTGATCCTGTTAGTAATATTTTATTTGTTCAATTCGTCAAGTGAGGGGCCTGGATGCTGCTGAGAGGCTCCTGATCCTAAAAACTGGACCTGTCCTCCAACTCCTTAATTCGAACCTGATTGCGTCTCATTCCCCAGATGCTGTATGACCCTCTATGGGTCTAGCACTTTCCCCTGATTGTAATAATAATAATTTGTGGAAGAAATATTTATTTTGTTTTTAATCTTTCAAGGACACTGCCTGTACTGCAAGAGGAGAACTTTAAGAATGGTGCACATTAAAAGGAAAACAGCAATACAAAGACTGCATTAAGTAAAAAAATCCACACATTAAAAGAGGAAAGATGGAAGATTGTAAAATACTGGATCTGCCAAGTACCTCTCAAGGTAGGGTTAAAGCCACAGTTTTTATGATGTGGTGCAGTTTAGTGAAATTTCAGTCAAATTTTAATTTTCTTTTAGTTTTAATTTAGTTCTTTTGTTAAATTGTAGTACAGTTCCGACAAAAAATACGTTGTACAGTAATTAAAATTAAGTAAAATAAAAATTTTGAAATTACCATATTTGATTAACATTGATTTTTTTAATTTGAGTAACACAATGGTAACAAAGATATCCAATTTTAAGTGTCAGATTTCTGTGAATTCTTTTTTTTCACATCTTTATTCTCTTCTTTGGTGCCACTGTGAATTGCATAATTAAAATTTGGATATGCTGTACATAATACCAAACATATGACTATTAATCAAAGTATGCTAAATATTCAGAAAGGAAAGGAGTAGTTTGCCTTAATTAGTAAATAAAATTTCCAGATCCAGAGTCTAATCTTGAGCAAGTGGAAAAAGAACTGAAAATTGTCGTGAGGGAATTACAAATTCTACAAGGTCGTAAGCAGTCACTAGAGGCAAGGCGGGAAAAATTAAGAGATGCTATTCAACAACGGAAGTCTGCTCACCTTGCTCAAAGAGACTGGGATAAAAATGGTTAGTTGACAGAGCTATCAATCTGTGCTTATTATTATTTTTTTTTTTTTTTAACACGTCGACCATCTCCCACCGAGGCAGGATGACCCAAAAAGAAAGAAAAGCCTCCCAAAAAAGAAAAAGCTTTAATCATCCAACACTCTTACTATCACTCATACATAATCAGTCTTTGCAGAGGTGCTCAGATACAACAGTTTGGATGTCTCTCCAAACTGCCAGTATCCCAAACCCCTCCTTTAAATTGCAGGCATTGTACTTCCCATTTCCAGAACTCAAGTCCGGCTAACTGGTTTTCTTGAATCCCTTTACAAAATATTATCCTGCTCGCACTCCAACAGCTCGTCAGGGCCCAAAAACCATTCGCCTCCATTCACTTGTATCTAACACGCTCATGCACACTTGCTGGAAGTCCAAGCCCCTTGCCCACGAAACCTTCTTTACCTCCCCCTCCAACTTTATCGAGGACGAACCCTACCCCGCCTTCCTTCCCCTACAGATTTATACGCTTTCCAAGTCATTCTACTTTTTTCCATTCTCTCTAAATGACCAAACCACCTCAACAACCCTTCTTCAGCCCTCTGACTAATACTTTTAAAAAGTAACTCCACACTTCCTAATTTCCACACTATGAATTCTCTGCATAATATTTACACCATGGTATAAACCTTGGTAATAAATACCAACAAGTTGGTTTAGAAAGACACGTAAGCAGACACTATGACATATTTATTAGAAAACGTTTCGGTCCTGGGACCTTGATCAGGGTCCCAGGACCGAAACGTTTTCTAATAAATATGTCATAGTGTTTGCTTATGTGTCTTTCTAAACCAATATTTACACCATACATTGCCCTGAAGGAGGGGTGATTTTAATGTTGCAGTTTTTTAACTGTAGTGTAAGTGCGCTTCTGGCAAAACGGTAATGGAGTGAATGATGAAAGTTTTTCTTTTTCGGGCCACCCTGCCTTGGTGGAAGACAGCCAATGTGCTAATAAATATAACATTGCCCTTAGACACGACATCTCCAATATACTCTCATACATTCCCTTCTTTGCCTCCATGGATAATGTTTTTTGTCTCCACAGACACCTCAATGCACCACTCACCTTTTTTCTTTCATCATTTCTGTGGTTAAGTTCATCCTTCATAAACCCATCCGCTGACAAGTCAACTCCCAATTATCTGGAAAATCACTTCTTCCGTACTCCCTCCCTCCAATGTGATATCTAATTTTTCTTTATCTAAATTATTTGATACCCTCATCACTTTACTCTTATCTATGTTCACTTTCAACTTTGTACCTTTACACACCCTCCCAAACTAGTCCACTAACCTTTGCAACTTTTCTTTTGTACAGTATTAAAATTTTCAAAACTTTATTATAAATTGTGCTGGAATGCTTTTACAATCTCTTCATTTATACATGTGCAGGACTTTAAACAAATGACCATGTTTGACATATAATCAGAGAAATTTTTTGGGGTCTGCTCAAATGAGATACACCTGTATGAGAAAATTACATCTATCTTGAAGACAAGAACACCGATAAAATATCCTTCGTGAAAGACATGTCAGCCTGGTACGACAGCTGGGAAAATAAAATGGGTTGTTTGGACGGGGTTGTCTTGGAAGACAGTACTTCTGACAGTGCTAGTGTTGTCGTGGAGGACAGCTCACCAAAAGAAGATAGTGGCCCTGGTGATGAAGCAGGTAAAGACAACGCTATTCAGTTTACAGAGGTACAAAATAGTGATACGTCTAGAGATGGAACAAAAGGGGACGATGCCTCAGGGAATATTATTGACATATTACCATCAAAAACTGGTGAAAACATGGATGTCCATACACCTTTGATATACCTTTGAAGAATTTTGAGAGTATATCTACTCTGAGCCCGGCCATGGGCCAGGCTTGTCTAGTACTTGCCTGGTCAATCAGGCTGTTGCAGCTGGAGGCCTGCTGCCCTACATATCCATCACAGCCTGGTTGATCTGGCACCTGGTGAAGATACTTGTCTAGTTTCCTCTTGAAGGCTTCAACACTTGTTCCAGCAGTGTTTCTGATATCTTCTGGTAATATGTTGAAAAGTCTAGGACCCCGGATGTTGATACAGTGTTCCCTTATTGTCCCCACTGCACCCCTACTCCTTACTGGGTTTATTTTACACTTCCTCCCATATCTCTCACTCCAGTATGTTGTTATGACAGGGGCAGTAGATAGAGGGAAAACAGAAAAAAATGCACCAGCAGCGAATGCAGCTACAAAAAATCCTAGTGAACAATATACCAATCTGTACAAATTCTATGCTTTGGGTATCTGCAGGCATGGTATATCTGGTAAAACAGGTGGGACATGCACCTTTGACCATCCCAAAAAATGCCACACCCACATGACAACAGGAGGGTGCAGCTCCCCTTTCTGTAACTTATTTCACCCCGAAATGTGTCACTCGTCACTCCATGAAAGAAAATGCTACAACCCATACTGCCATGTACATCATCTAAAGGGGACAAGAAGACACAGACCAGCCAGACTATGGGAAACAAAAGAGGGGAGCCATAACCTCTCTGAAGAAAGAGGTTTTTTAGTGCCAGGAAGGAAAAAAGACTGGCAAGACATGACAAATCTTACACCAACTGAAAACACTTCTAAAGCAGAGGCACAGTCATTGGCCTCCACTAGAGAACAACAGATATTAGAGCCAGCAAATAAAACCCCCCTAAATTCCATCAATATAATGACACCTGTCTTTGCAAACATACAGGGTCTAAAACCATCAACAGACAACAAAATTCCTTATATCAAGGGACTGCTCATGGAGTTAAATGCAATGTTTGCAGCATTCAGAGACCCACATAAAGGATCATTTTGACAATGAAATATGGATCCCAGACTAAGCAGGCAACAAGGGGGGGTTGGCTTGTACATCACAGTGTCACTCATTTGCTCAGAGCTACTAAACACCTCAAATGTAGTTAAAGTTTTGGCGGTAAAGATTGAAGATCATAACCTTGTCATTGTGGTTGTATACAAGTCTCCTGATGCAACTTCCCAGCAATTCTGGCAGCAGCTTTTGAAAATTGACCTCTATCTGGATAATCTCCCAACTCCTGCCCCAAACATCTTGCTACTGGGAGATTTCAACTTGAGACACCTAAAATGGAGGAGTGTAGCAAATAATATTTTAGCAGAGATCACCCCAGGAGGCAGCTCAGATGAAAATTCACACACGCATGAGCTGTTAAATCTCTGCACCAAGTTCACCTTAAACCAGCAAATACTGGAGCCTACAAGACTAGAAAATATGCTGGACCTTATCTTCACTAACAATGGCGATCTGATACGTAATATAACCGTATCAAAGACAATAACTCGGATCACAACATAATAGAGGTACAGAAATGTATGCACAGGGCTCCTGACCAGCAAAATGTGATCAGTCATGAGGGTGTCTTCACAAAATTCATCTTCAATAACAAAAATGTACAATGGGAACAAGTCAACCATGTCCTAAATGAAACAAGCTGGGAAGATATCCTAAACAACACAGATCTGAACCTTTGCCTAGAAAAAGTAAACTCTGTGGTTCCTGAGATCTGCTCAGGGCACATTCCATTAAGAAAAAGAAAGAGAAGATGCAAATTAGGAAGAGAGAGAGACTTCCTATGCAGACGAAGGCAAAGAGTTACAGAGCTGCTGAGAGGGGCCAATACATCTGAAATACAAAGGGAGGCACTGGTCGATGAAATTGCAAATATCGAACTTAAGAAGAAGGAATCCTACAGAAGACAAGAATTGCAGGAAAGGAAATTGAAGAAAAAAAAAAAGAAAACAACATCCGGGATTGGGCCCCTGCCAAGAAATGAGTGAGATATTAAAGTCCCAATATGATTCAGTGTTCAGTGAGCCGCTACCTAGACTAAGGGTCTACAATCCAAGTGAATTCTTTTTGAACGAGACCCAAAATTTGATCATCTTAAAAATCTCGGATATTATCCTAACACCACAAGACTTTGAAAAGGCAATAAATGACATGCCCATGCACTCTGCCCCAGGCCCAGACTCATAGAACTTCGTGTTTATCAGGAACTGCAAGAAGCCCCTGTCGCATGCCTTCAGCATTCTATGGAGAGGGAGCATGGACATGGGACATCCCACACTCGCTAAAAACAACAGACATAGCCCCACTCTATAAAGGTGGCAGTTAAGCAATTGCAAAAAACTATAGACTGATAGCACTAACATCCCATATCATAAAAATCTTTGAAAGGGTTCTAAGAAGCAAGATCGCCAACCACCTAGATACCTATTAACATCACAACTGAGGGCAACATGGGTTTAGAGCAGGTTGCTCCTGCCTGTCCCAGCTACTGGACCACTATGACAAGGTCCTGGATGCTGTAGAGAATAAACAAAATACAAATTGTATACACAGACTTTGCAAAAGCTTTTGACAAGTGTGACCATGGTGTAATAGTGCACAAAATGCATGATAAAGGAGTAACAGGAAAAGTTGGTTGATAGACCTATAACTTCCTGACAAATAGAACACGAAGAGTAATAGTAAACAGAGTAAAGTCTGAGGCAACTACGTTGAAAAGCTCTGTGTCACAAGGCACAGTACTCACTCCATTCTATTCCTCATCCTCATATTTGACATAGAGATGTAAGCCATAGCTACATGTCTTCCTTTGCGGATGACACCCAAATTGCCATGACAGTAACCTCCATCGAAGACACCTCAAGACTCCAAGTGGGTATCAACCAAATCTTCAGATGGGCCACTCAAAACAATATGAAGTTCAGTTAAGAGAAATTTCAACTACTCAGATATGGAAAACTTGAGGAAATTAAAACTTTATCAGGGTATACGACAAATTCTAACCATAAAATATAGCGTAAAAATAATGTGAAGGACCTGGGGGTGATCTCGCTTTCAAAAACCACAACAATGCATCTACTGCATCTGCTAGGAGAGTGATAGGATGGATAATGAGAACCTTCAAAACTAGGGATGCCAAACCCATGATAATTCTCTTCAAATCGCTTGTTCTCTCTAGGCTTTAATACTGCTGTACACTAACTGTCCCCTTCAAAGCCAGCAAAATTGCTGACCTGGAGAGTGTACAAAGAGCTTTCACAGCATACATGAGTATAATAAGGCAGCTAAATTACTGGGAACGGTTGAAGTCCCTTGATTTGTATTACCTGGAATGCAGGTGAGAGAGATGCATAATAATATATACTTGGAAAATCCTAGAGGGACTAGTACCAAACTTGCACATAAAAATCACTCCCTATGAAAGCAAAAGACTCATCAGGAGATGCAACATTCCCCCAATGAAAAACAGGGGCACCACGAGTACACTGAGAGACAACACAATAAATGTCCAGGGCCCAAGACTGTTCATCTGCCTCCCAGCATACGTAAGGGGGATTACCAGTAGACCCCTGGCTGTCTTCAAGAAGGCACTGGACAGGCACCTAAAGTCAGTGCCTGACCAACCGGGCTGTGGTTCGTACGTCAGTTTGTGTGTGGCCAGCAGTAACATCCTGGTTGATCAGGCCCTGATCCACCACAAGGCCTGGTCTCAGACTGAGCCACAGGGGCGTTGACCCCCGAAGCCTTCTCCAGGTATACTCAAGGTAACAAGATATCCCTAAGAAAAATTACATGTACAGTGGACCCCCGCATAACGATCACCTCCGAATGCGACCAATTATGTAAGTGTATTTATGTAAGTGCGTTTGTACGTGTATGTTTGGGGGTCTGAAATGGACTAATCTACTTCACAATATTCCTTATGGGAACAAATTCGGTCAGTACTGGCACCTGAACATACTTCTGGAGTGAAAAAATATCGTTAACCGGGGGTCCACTGTATTGGAAAACATTTTCACATAGACTCCTTATATAACCTAGAGATAGTTTATATATAAGCACCACACATGTTCCAAGGGTCTGTATACAAAGAATGAACAGTTTTGTTTAATAAATAGTGGAAACAAAGAATAATGAAATTAACCCTTTGACTGTCGAGGTCGTATATATACATCTTACGAAGTACCGTGTTTGACGTATATATACTCATAAATTCTAGCGGCTTCAAATCAAGCAGGAGAAAGCTGGTAGGCCCACATGTGAGAGAATGGGTCTGTGTGGTCAGTGTGCACCATATAAAAAAAAATCCTGGAGCATGCAGTGCATGCAGTTTTAATTAAAATGCCGACTTTGTGGTCTATTTTTGTAGAGTATTTATGGTTGTATTCTCGTTTTCTGGGTCTCATTTGATAGAATGGAAAACATATAGAAGTAGAGGTGATTTTGACTAATTTTACTCTAAAAAGAACCTGGAAATGGAGCTCAAAGTAAGGGAAATGTTTGATTTTTGCCCATGTTCAAAAGTAAATAAATGTCATTGTCCAATAAATGTCCATCTAGCCATTCTAATATGCAGTCATGAATGGGTTGATGTTATTTATACAATTATTACAGTATTGCAGTAGTCTGCATAACAGTAAATCTTCTATTTTTTGTTTGAATAAAAATTCAAAATAGAAAGCAAGAGTAATATCAGAGGGGCCTGGAGACGTGGCTGATGAACAAAGAAAATGTTATTTTAGAGCCAGGAATGTTTGCATTGTTCATTATGGACCTTATTTTGAAATTGTCATATTTTTTAATTTTCGTGAAATTGGCCAAATTGCAAATTTCTGACCACATTATTGGGTAGTTGAAATCGGTAAATGGGCAGTTTCTTGTACTCAGTCGATGGAAACAATGGAGTTCTAAAGAAAAAGCTATGAGTTTGGTCCACTGGAACAATGGAATTAGCCGAAAATAGGGCTCAAAGTGGGCGAAATCGCCGATTTGTAAATATCGCCGAAGTCGCTAACTTCACGAGAGCGTAATTCCGTCAGTTTTCCATCAAATTTCGTGTTTTTGGTGTCATTACAATCGGGAAAAGATTCTCTCTCATTTCATAAGAAAAAATAATTTTTTTTTTTTTTTTTTTTTGAAATTTTGCGACACCAGGAGACACTTCAGGATTAGGGGTTGCGACAGTCAAGGGGTTAATAAAAGCAACCTTTTTTAACTATTGTCAGTTATTATTAGTACACTTTAACTTTAGACAAAATGTGGTAGTCTTTCTCCTTGCTTTCTTTCTTCTATAAGACTCATCCCTGTTTTTTTTAATGAAGTGTTCTTGTGAAATTTCATTATTAACTCCCTTACATATTTTTTAACACATATAATGTTTAATATATATATAGGTAATCTCTCTTGTATCATGTCTTATCCTTTGCTCTGCTGCATAATACTGTATGTTCATTTCTCATCTGCAGTTAGTGCATTCATCGCAGATTGTATCAGCCATAGTATTATGGCTTTTTTCTTTTACATTTTGCAGATTTTCCATGGTCAAAAGAGTTGGAGAATATACAGAAAACTGTCTTTAAAATCCCTTCATTACGTGCACACCAGCTTCCTACTATGAATGCTGTATTGTCTGGCATAGATTCCATTCTCGTGATGCCTACAGGAGGAGGAAAGAGTTTATGCTTCCAGCTCCCAGCTCTCCTGTCTGAAGGTAAAACTAATGTACAGTAGTTTTAATTATTCATTAAGTTTATGTACAGTAGACATGCACTTTGTGTTGGTTGCATTCCTGAAAATCGGCACTATGTGAAATTGCAATATGTACAGTAAAACCTCAAATTAATGGGCATCCATATAATGGATTTTGGCAATTAAGGAAAAAAAAATGCCATCAGATGTTTGAATAATCAGACAAAATGGAAAAAGTTTGTAATTCTGGATTTTATCCGTAGCAATAGTGTCTGGTCTTCTGAATCATTGGATGAAGCCCATTGACTCTGATGTTTGTCTGGCATGGGCCAGAGTGGCCATGTCCAGGACTTGTCTGTTTTCATTGTTTCCTGAGCCATAGGCCACCCATGCCAGTTTGTTTGTGTTCGCTGATGTGCACACAGTCCCTGGATTTACAGTTTTTTGTTGCTGTTGTTGTGACTATTAACATACGAAGTAAAGTGCAACATACAGTGGCTTCTAAAGCAAGTGGTGGTGCCAAGAGGAAATGTGTGGTTCTCAGTATTAAGCAGAAACATGAACTAATAAAGAAGGTTGAGTCTGGCATCTCAGTAGCATGGATATGCAAGAAACAGGGTTTTAAGAAATTAACAACCATCTATGTCATCTTGGTCACTTACATCTTCATTAGTAGAGCTTTACAGCTCCTCTGATTCAGAATAAAAATTATTCAGTGTCATCACTGTTGATCACGGCAGTTTACACCTCATCTCTTCACCATGAAAAGTTAAGTTAAAGTACTTTAAATTATATAAGAACATAAGAAAGAAGGAACACTGCAACAGGCCTACTGGCCTATGCGAGGCAGGTCCAGTTCCCCCTCTGCCTTAAGCCAATGCCTTGACCTAGTGAGGTCAGACACGTCACTTAAGAGAGGAACACGGCATCCGACCTAGTAGCACAAACTAGTCAGGTCCAACTCACACCCACCCACACCCACTCATGTATTTATCCAACCTATTTTTAAAACTACACAATAAAAAATTACTATACTGTACTAAAAACTTACTACACAATATAATAGTGCACTGTAGTACTGTAGGTTACAATACCCACATTCTTAGTGTCCAGTTGTCTTCTGAATCAGTGGACCACATCTTCTGATTCAAAACTTTGATTGTTAAGACCATGAAAATTTAATTTTATAATTCAGAAGTTTTGGACAATCATCAATATTGTACACCCTCTTACCCTAGTAGTTCATTAATTAGAGGGTTCACTGTATGTGGACTGAAAAACTTATGGGAGAAACAGGGTTACAGTTTTGACACCTCCAGCAACAACCAGTTAAATTTTTTGTGGGAGGATGAAAGGATGGAAAATATAATTTAGCTTTTGGAGAATCATAAATTTTAACCAAGGAGTTGTAAAATGGTCCATGCTAGGCACGTCTTTCTCAACTCCAACCCTTCTCACTTGTACATGATCTTGCAATCACATTCTAAAAGGATAGTGAGAATATGATTGAGAGATCATGAAATGCTTGGAATTTAATTCCCCTTTAAAGTGATTAAATTGCATAGTTAGGTACAGTATATGCTTTTTTCTTGTGATCTTGTTGCATATTTATAATTTGTTAAGATTTTGAAAAGTAAACTTGCATTTTTAGATACTGTATTTTGTTTGCTTTCCTTCAGGTATCACTTTAGTTGTCTCTCCATTGGTGTCATTGATGGAGGATCAGTTGATGGGTCTCAAAGCTCGAGGAATTGAGGCAAAAATGCTCTGTGCTGCATCCACAAAACAAGAAGTCAATGGAGTCCACTCTGTATGAATCATGGAGGGTATACATATTTTCCTAGTAAATGCATAGAATTAGTTACATATACACTATCTACATATCTATTGTGTCTTTTTTTTATCTCACTGGACAACTCCCACCGAGGTAGGGTGACCCGTAAAAGAAACGCTTTCACCATCATTTACTCTATCACGTCTTGCCAGAGGCATGTAGATACTACAATTCAAATGCCCTTCCAAATCCAAATATCCCACCTGTCCTTCACAGTGCAGGCACTGTACTTCCCACCTCCAGGACTGAAGTCTGGCTGACTGGTTTACCTGAATCCCTTCACGAAATATTACCTTGCTCGCACTCCAACAACTTGTCAGGTACCAAAAATCATTTGTCTCCACACATGCCTGCTTGATGTCCAATCCCCATGCACACAAAACCTCCTTTACCCCCTCCCTTCATCCTTTCCTAGGGTGACCCCTACCCTGCCTTTCCTCCACTACACATTCATACACCCTCCAAGTCATCCTGTTTTGTTCCATCCTCTCTAAATGTCCAAACCACCTCAACAGCTCCCTCCTCAGCCCTCTGGATAATGCTTTTAGTAACTACTAATCTTCAGACTATGAATTCTCTGAATAATATTCACATCACACATAGCCCTCACTGCCTCCACCCTCCTCCTCACTGCAACATTCACAACCCAAGTTCACACTCATATAAGTGTTGGTACGACTCTACTCTCATGCAGTCCCCTTTTTGCATCCATGGATAATGTTCTTTGTCTCCACAGATGCTTCAGTGCACCTCCCACCTTTTTCCCCCTCATCAACTTTATGGTTCACCTTTTTTTCCATATTAACATCCTACTACAAGTCTACTCCCAAATATCTGAACACATTCACTTCCTCATACTCTCTCCTTCCAATCTGATATCCAATCTTTCATTACCTAAATCATTTATTGCCCTCATCACCTTGCTCTTTCCTGTGTTCACTTTTAATAAGTGATTTTTGTTATGCGACTCATTATCCTGAACTTATGTAAATATTGTGACCCTATTAAATTTTAGCTTTTGTTTGAGGCATTTACAGCCCAGTGCTACTACCATTATTTAGATTGTGTGTTCTTGTTTATAGATTTGTTACATTTAATACAAGCATTATTTTTTTTTCTTCATGCTGGTCGTCTCTCACCGAGGCAGGGTGACTCGAAAAAGAAAACCTTAATAAGAACGAACATTATAATATTAGAAAAATGTAGATGGTTTAATGAATGTCATGAAACGGGTGAGGTGTTAGGTCACATACCTGACATTTAGAAATAAGTTATTAATTCTTTCAAAGAGAAGCAAGGCCTTGTTATTTATAGGTACCATCCAACTTACGACCAAGCTTGGTTCCGACCAACCTGGTCGTAAGTCAAAATGGATGTAAGTCGAACCTTACTGCTGAATATCAACATCACACTTTTGTAATGATTTTATTTTATTGTTTTATTTTGGTTATTTAATTTTTTACTTTACTTTTTATGCTGTTAGTACTGTATTTTTTACTGTAAGGTTTAGGATAAACACTGTGTACAACACAAACAGTTGTTTATTTCTCAGAAATTTGGCATAAAAAACATGGTCATAAATCGAGTGGTCGTATGTTGAGCAGGTCGTAAGTCGGATGGTAGGTGTACATTGTTTCTAAAATATTGCTTGGACTGAAGAACAAAAAATTATACCCCTTAAACAAATGATGATAATTTTGCTTTAAAAGCTCATTTTAATATCCTATGTAAGGTTTGTAAAGAAAATACAGAATAATAATTTGATAATGTTCTCCATGGGGAAGTGGAACAGAATTCTTCCTCCGTGAGCCATGCGTGTCGTAAGAGGTGACTGAAATGCCGGGAGCAAGGACCTAGTAACCCCTTTTCCTGTATATATCACTAAATGTAAAAGGAGAAACTTTCGTTTTTCCTTTTGGGCCACCCTGTGTCAGTGGGATACGACTGGTGTGTTGAAAGAAAGAAAGAAAGAATTTGATAATGTATATCTTACTCAAAGTTCATGCTTCTTTAATTACATTAATTTTCTTGAAATGCATGAAAAAAATTCTGTAAAGTGTTATTTTTTCAAATCAAATAATTAGATAAAAAAATAATTACTAGTACTGTACTGCATAATCAGTATATAAAATATTTTGAAAATACCTAAGTTCCGAAATGTATTTAAATATGTAGTTGATAAGTTATAATGATATGTGTAGCCTGATGAAGAATGGTGCTATTTAGTTGTTACATTGTCCCAAAAACCTTGCTTGAGAATATTTACAATGAATTCTATTGGATGCATTCTATCATCATGATTTTTAGCAATTTCTAGGGAAAAATTTCTCCCAAGATTCCTGCGTTGAGTCATTTGACTATCCCATAAAGAATTATTATACAAAAATCATATGATGTAATTATATATTAACAGTTTATTCCATGATGGATGTATTCTGTCCTCAGGATATGACTAATCCCAAAAGTGGGTTAAAATTGCTGTACGTAACACCGGAGAAACTTGCAAAATCAAAGAGATTCATGGCTACGCTTCAGAAGATGCATCAGTTGGGTCGATTTTCTCACTTAGCTATTGACGAAGTTCATTGTTGCTCACAGTGGGGTCATGATTTTAGACCTGGTAAGTTTCCCCTATTGTACTTTATTTTTGCCACGTGCAAACTATTATTTAAAGATAAATAGTGTTGTACAGTACATAGGAAAGACTGGTAGTAAAGGACTTGGCAGCCCACACCAAGGCTGTCTGCTGAGAAAAGCTATCTACTTCCTAGATTAAGGGTAGTCATGTATTAACTTGGTGTGTGAGTTAATGGTAGAAAAGCGGAAGCTTCTTTCCCTACCCTCTACTCTCTCTGACCACCGCCGGCATGAAAACGTGGAGAGAAATACACTGTACCATATTAGATTTTTTTTTTTTAACAAGTCGGCCATCTCCCACCAAGGCAGGGTGACCCAAAAAGAAAATACTTTCATCATTCACCACTTTCATCTCACTCATACATAATCACTGTTTTTGCAGAGGCACCCAGATACAACAGTTCAGCATTTATAAAGATATATAACATATCCCTCCAAACTGCCAATGTCCCAAACCCCTCCTTTAAAGTACAGGCATTGTACTTCCCTGAATCCCTTCACTAAATATTACCCTGCTAACACTCCAACAGCATATTAGAAATGTGGCCTGGAATTTACAGGAGATGGAGCAGGATGGCAGACATGGGCTACAACTTCTTCCTTCTTTTCTTTCAACACACCGGCCATATCTACCTCTACTAAATTAGTACTGTTCCTGTCTTAAACCACTTTTATTACTCCATTTGCCACTCTCAGAGCTAGGTACCAGTGGTTCTACTTCTGGGTACCAACAATTCTGCTATGACTGTTACAACCCTCTTTTTCTCTTTTCCAAGATAAAATTTAAAAAAAAAAAATGTGAATGAGGGATTGAGAGCAAACAAGGTACTGTAATAGGATAATGTTTACATCCATCTGCAACACCATCTTTCATAGCCCTGCATCCTATGTACCTACGGAAATCCAAGTGCTGTAGTCCTGTTTGGAAGGTCGAGTACCCAGTCGAAAACATTGCAGCTCTAACATTCTTGAGTTTGGATTCTATTGTACGTCTTCCTGACAACCACCAAAAAATAATCCAACACCTTAATTAACCAGGAGATTTGATTGCTGCCAGCATTTTTTATATACTCTTAGATGATTTGCAAGCACTGTTGTAAGCCAAAAGCAATGTTTTCCTTTGAACAGGTCTGAACTCATGTTCTAACCATGAAATTGGGTTTTGTAAGCTCAAGCCATTTATTTTAAATAATGCAAAGAAAGCATTGTACTGCAAATATTGCAATTAGTAAATAATTTTCAGAAATTTGAAGTAAATACTAATGAGTTTGGAAAAAATTAAGTTAAATTTATACAGCCCATTAAATGTGTGAGATAAATATTGGTATGTTTATTTATACATTATTATATTGTCCATCACTTTAACTTCATAAATACATTCTTCATTTTCCGCACTGTTTTACAGATTACAAGTTTCTTGGAATTATGCGTAAGATGTTCCCAGGAACACCAATCTTGGGACTTACTGCTACAGCAACTTCAAGAGTCATTCAAGATGTTCAAAAAATTCTGGACATCAAAGGCTGTTTAGTTCTTAAAGCATCTTTTAATCGACCAAATTTATTTTATGAGGTAAAGTTGCATAAAATTCCTGTATAGTATATTTTTTATAACATTTTTGTTACACTCTGAGAGAGTTGAATTCTCTGTCTACTAGACATTACATTTCTACACATATGGATGATGATAATAATAATAATAATGATCATTTTTTTTTTTCAACAAACCGGCCGTATCCCACCAAGGCAGGGTGACTGAAAAGGAAAAAACGAAAGTTTCTCTTTTTAAATTTAGTAATTTATACAGGAGAAGGGGTTACTAGCCCCTTGCTCCCGGCATTTTAGTCGCCTCTTACAACATGTTTGCCTTACAGAGGAAGAATTCTGTTCCACTTCCCCATGGAGATAAGAGGAAATAAACAAGAAGAAGAACTAGAAAGAAAATAGAAGAAAACCCAGAGGGGTATGTATATACAGTGGACCCCCACCTCATATTATTTCATTCCAGAAGTATGTTCAGGTGCCATTACTGAACGAATTTGTTCCCATAAGGAATATTGTGAATTAGATTAGTCCATTTCAGACCCCCAAAAATACACGTACAAACGCACTTACATAAATACACTTACATAATTGATCACATTGGGAGCTGATCGTAAAGCAGGAGTCCACTGTATATGCTTGTACATGTATGTGTACTGTGACCTAAGTGTAAGTAGAAGTAGCAAGATGTACCTGAAATCTTGCATGTTTGTGAGACAGAAAAAAGACACCAGCAATCCTATCATCATGTAAAATAATTACAGGTTTCCGTTTTACACTCACTTGGCAGGACGGTAGTACCTCCCTGGGTGGTTGCTGTCTACCAACCTGCTACCTATAATAATGATAATCTTTCTTTCTTTCAACACACCGGCCGTATCCCACTGAGGCGGGGTGGCCCCAAAGGAAAAACGAAAGCTTTTCCTTTTACATTTAGTAATATATACAGGAGAAGGGGTTACTAGCCCCTTGCTCCCGGCATTTTAGTTGCCTCTTACAACACGCATGGCTTACGGAGGAAGAATTCTGCTCCACTTCCCCATGGAGAGAACAGGAAATAAACAAGAACAAGAACTAGAAAGAAAGTAGAAGAAAACCCAGAGGGGTGTGTACATATATATATGCTTGTACATGTATGTGTAGTGTGACCTAAGTGTAAGAAGTAGTAGCAAGACGTACCTGAAATCTTGCATGTTTACGAGACAGAAAAATGGACACCAGCAATCCTACCATCATGTAAAACAATTACAGGCTTTCGTTTTACACTCACTTGGCAGGATGGTAGTACCTCCCTGGGCAGTTGCTGTCTACCAACCTACTACCTATAAATAATGATAATATTAATTTTTTTATTTTATTATTTTATTATCACACCGGCCGATTCCCACCAAGGCAGGGTGGCCCGAAAAAGAAAAACTTTCACCATCATTCACTCCATCACTGTCTTGCCAGAAGGGTGCTTTACACTACAGTTTTTAAACTGCAACATTAACACCCCTCCTTCAGAGTGCAGGCACTGTACTTCCCATCCCAGGACTTGATAATATTAATAATAATTTATTTAAATTCTGTGGGGAAGTGGAGATGAATCCTCTCTCCATAAGCCTTGTGTGTCATAAGAGGGGACTACAATGCTGGGAAAAGCTTTCATCTTTTCTTTTTGGGGTGGGAGACAGCTGATGTGTTAAAAAATAATATTTCAGTATGATAATGTTTGTACAGAGATTGGTGACATTTAGTTGTGAATGCAGAGAGCCCAGAGTTATGCAGAGCATTTGGAACAAATGCTTAAAGCATAGCAGAAATTTAGTATAGAAAATTTGATAATACAGTATAAAGACATATTATTAATATAAAGTTATCATAAATCATATTTTTCAAGCTCAAAAAATAAGCCACTATTTAAGACTTAGTGTTTTAAGAATCTGATATTTTTTTAGTACAGTATAAAGATGGGTGGTATAGAATCATGTGGCCTTTTGATGGAAATGTGGCTAAAAGTTTGTGATGATGTATGACATGTGGAATTTTTTTGATGCAGAAAGGTTACCATAGTGCTTTACAACAGAAAAACTGAAAAATGGGATATTCAGTACCACAGGAATAACTCTGGTAAAGGACTGTAAAATTGTGTGATGTGACACTTGGAATTGCAGTGTGATAGGTGGATGTAACTTCCATAATTGTGTAGGTGAAATGTATCATTTTTTAACTCATTCAGCCGTCTCCCACAAAAGTAGGATAACCTGAAAAAGAAGAAACAAAAGTTTTTCTTCTTTTTACATTTGAATTTATACAGAAGAAGAATTTATATAGGTGTCACTAGCCCCTTGCTCCTGCATTTTAGTCGCTTCTTACGACATGCATGGCTTATGGTGGAAGGATTCTTCTCCACTTTCCCATGGAGGAAATGTATCATATAAAAAGATAAATGTGCCCAAAGGAATTACCTGTAAACAGTTTCGGGGGTCACCTGATAACAATTCTGCGGAGTCACTTACTTAATGTTTGATAATTAGTGTGACCTGATGTGTACGCCATTTGATCTATACCTCACTTCTACTTTTTACTTCTGCATTTATATACTCATCCTCCCTTACCAAGTTTATCCATTCATCACTTCGTAAAGCAAACTGCCTGCGGAAGACACTAAAACATTCCATATACAGTAATTGCATGTATATCCTTACTACTCAGTTGGTATCTCATACCATAATATATCCAGCAAGTTGGAGGATAGTAGCAGTGAAAATGTCTTGTCCGAGATGAATGTGTGGTGTGAATATTATACAGAGAAGGACTTGAGTCCTGGAGATAGGAATTACAGTGTCTGCACTCTGAAGAAGGGGTGTGAATGTTGCAGTTTTATAACTAGTGTAAGCATGCCTCTGGCAAGGCAGTGATGGAGTGAATGATGGTAAAAGTTTTTCTTTTTCGGGCCACCTTGCCTTGGTGGGAAACGGCCGATGTGTAATAAAAAAAAATAAGAATAGGACATAATAAGATGCCTTGGTCAGGTAGAAGGGTCCACTTATTGATTGTGTATAAATGCAAATCTGAGGTAAATGAAAGCAGGTTAATTGAACATCTGTGGGAAGATTGGGAGGGTGTGAAAGAAGTATTGAGCAATTGGATATCCTGTAGACATATATGAGCATTATAGCTAGTAGATTGGTAGATGGCAACTGCCCAGGGAGGTACTACCGTCCTGCCAAGTGAGTGTAAAACGGAAACCTGTAATGTTTTACATGATGGTAGGATTGCTGGTGTCCATTTTTCTGTCTCATAAACATGCAAGGTTTCAGGTACGTCTTGCTACTTCTACTTACACTTAGGTCACACTGCACATACATGTACAAGCATATATGTATATACACACCCCTCTGGGTTTTCTTTCATTTTTCTTACTAGTTCTTGTTCTTGTTTATTTCCTCTTACCTCCATGGGGAAGTGGAACAGAATTCTTCCTCCGTAAGCCATGCATGTTGTAAGAGGCAACTAAAATGCCGGGAGCAAGGGGCTAGTAACCTCTTCTCCTGTATATATTACTAAATGTAAAAGGAGAAACTTTCGTTTTTCCTTTTGGGCCACCCCGCCTTGGTGTGATATGGCCGGTGTGTTGAAAGAAAGAAGAAACATGCAAGATTTCAGGTACTTCTTGCTACTTCTACTTACACTTAGGTCACACTGCACATACATGTACAAGCATATATATACATACTCTCTGGGTTTTCTTCTAGTTTCTTTCTAGTTCTTGTTCTTGTTTATTTCCTCTTACCTCCATGGGGAAGTGGAACAGAATTCTTCCTCCGTAAGCCATGCGTGTTGTAAGAGGCAACTAAAATGCCGGGAGCACGGGGCTAGTAACCCCTTCTCCTGTATATATTACTAAATGTAAAAGGAGAAACTTTCGTTTTTCCTTTTGGGCCACCCCGCCTCGGTGGGATACGGCCGGTGTGTTGAAAGAAGAAAGATATATGAGCATGTAGGTGATGTAGGCGAGTGATTTTTGGAACTTGGTATGCTATTGGAGTGTAAAAATGAAAGAATCTGTGAAAGGATTCAGGGGAAATTGTGATGCCTTGTCTTTTTAGAAATGGTTACTCAGCAGTTGGTGGCAGATTGCATTTTTTCCCACACTACCTTCATAAGAAAAAACTGATTGAGCTGTATCTTGAATATATTTTTAAAGAGTTAAATACCACAGAATTATAATAATTTAAGAGTCCATTATTCAGTCTCTCTCTAAAAAAAAGACAAAACCAAAAACATTCGTTGCTGAAAAGACACTAGTAGCAGTGAAGTCCTTTACTGGTGCAGTGTCTCATCCATGGCTTTTTCAAGTAATGTACATAATAAATATGAGATACAACACCTTAGTCACCCAGGGTGTAAAAGGTAGGTGTAGATGTCAGGTGCATCAAGTTAACTTTGATGCCTACACCTGACTTTTACACCAAGGGTGACTAAGCTTTTGTATCCAATATTTTTTATGCACTGTAGTTGAAAAGGTTCATTCATGGGTGAAATGGTGCACCAATAGGGGACCTTACTGCTACTAATGTCTTTTTCATTTCTTGTTGGATTATACTTCTGGGTTGTATAAAAAATATTTGTTAATTATTTTAGCGTTTATATATTTAGCAAAGGAGGTTTTGTGCGCAAGGGGCTTGGACATACAGCAGGCATGTGTGAGCATGTTAGAGAGGAGTGAGTGGAGATAAATGGTTTTTGGGATTTGACAAGCTGTTTGAGTGTGAGAAAATAATATTTTGTGAAGGGATTCAGGAAAACTGATTAGCCAGACTTCAGTCCTGGAGGTGGGAAGTACAGTGCCTGCGCTCTAAAGGAGGGGTTTGGGATATTTGCTGTGTAGAAGGACATCTAAACTGTCATATCTGCACACCTCTGGCAAGACAGTGATAGTGTGAATGATGTTGAAAGTGTTTCTTTTTTGTGTCACCCTGCCTCGGTGGAAGACAGCCAGCATGTTTAAAAAAAAAAAATAGCATTTTACCCTCTTGTTTTCTATTTTCATCACAGGTACGACCCAAGCCTTCCGTCCAGGAAGAATGCATTACACAGCTGCATCAGTTGCTTGAAGGAGAGTTTAAAGGACAGTCTGGTATTATCTACACCATGACCATCAAGGATGCTGAGGAGCTGGTGCCAGTACTCAGGTCTCGTCAAATAAGTGTTGCTCCGTACCATGCCCAGATGGAAGCACAAGTGAGGAGTAAAGTCCATAAAAAATGGGTGGCAAATGAGTATCAGGTAAATATACTAAAGCCATCTTTATGTTTGAATCATTAGATTATTGTCTTTAAACAATTGATTCTTAACTCTTAAATTGGGCACTGGGAGAATTTATCCAACTTTGTTTGTAGCATTTTGCTTATTGTATTGCAATGCATGTAAGAGTGCAGAAAAACAGAAAAAGAAAAAACTAAGATTTATTATTTTTCTAAGTGAAAACTTGCAGTCCTGAAACCTGACGGCAAGTTTAAGCAGTCTTGCTTAGCACTTTGTGGCATATAAAGCACACTTTTTTTTTTCCCCCCAACAAAAGTCTTGGGAAATCAGTCTGCACCTTATATACTCAAGTTCAGGGTCAGGGGTAGGTTCGGGTTACTGGCAGTGGTATTTTATAAGTGAATATGCAGTTCATTATAATAATAATAAAGTTGTAATGCTCGTGCATCTTATATGCCAGAAAATACAGTAATTTTTTTCGCAGGCATTAAACTATTTGTGCAGAACACATGGGAAGAAATCACAATAAGGCACATAACATTGAATGTGATGAAATAAAAGTGACAAATAATGGAACACAAATACCTGTGCACTTTAACATGTTTCAGTAGATACATGCATGTATGCATGTGTAAGCACATGCATACATATTATTTTTTGTTCTGGTGTTTTTTTCATTCTGTACACAAAGGTTGATTTTATATTACTTTCCATGTGTGTTAATATTGGTTACTCCCTAAAGCAAGGCAACACACAACACAGCAACAGACGAGCCTGGCCCATGGCTGGGCTCTGGGATTAGAAAGACTCTCAAAACTCATCGAGAGATACTAGAATTCTTCCACCATGTGTTTTCCAAAATCAAGGCAGTATGGGTTATTTTTAGTTATTTACATCCCCCTTCTCTTCAGGAGAGGTGCCTTAATGCTGTTGAAGTGCTCTTTATCTAAAATTTGTAATTACCCACTCCATCTTTGAATCATATCTATTTACCACCCAACATACTGTATGACCCCTATGGGTTTAGTGCCTCCTTATAAGAACAATATTAACCCTTTCATTGTTCTCTCATGTAGATCTGAATTATTAAGGCTGGTGGAGCCTATGGAGATCTGTCTTAATCATAGTATCCTCAGGTATGCTGTGAGCAGTAAATTTTAGTATAGACATAAAAGAATGCATCTGTGTGGTGGGTGTGTATACTATAAATAAACATACTGCCCTATGCAAAGCATGACAGAAACAACTAATTTCTGGCCTTGTATATTTGGTTTAAAGTAGAGACTTTAAGGCATGTTCTAGGATAGTTTTCATAGTTTTATTGGTTGCTTCTTGGTATCAAATGATAGAATGGAAGACATACTAGTGAAATGGAGATGATTTGGTCAGCTGTAGACAAGAAGTAACTTGAAATAGGCCTCTAAGTGATGGAAATATTAGATTTTTCTCAATTTTCCTGAAGAAGGGTAGGAGCCCTTTACTCTTTTTCCCAGGTCTGTTTTATGGGTTTTTACTAGGTCTGTTTTATGGGTTTTTACTAGGTCTGTTTTATGGGTTTTTCCCAGGTCTGTTTTATGGGTTTTTCCCAGGTCTGTTTTATGGGTTTTTACTAGGTCTGTTTCATTTATTGAAACAATCTAAACTATGACCAATTATTCTTGGTTATATTTTATTAGCTGATAAATAAACTGATTATGGATTCAAAATGGAGTGCAAATGTTTCTTTCTAGAAGTCTGGGAACATTATCAATGAGCAGAGAAACGGTTGCTTTATTAGATAAAATACTTACAGTGCTTATATTGGATTCTGCTTTCGATTGGAATGTTAATTTGTTAATTTTATGTAAAATTGGACAAATTACCAACTTCTGAATCCTTTATAAGGTAGTTCTTATGGGTGAATGAGCAGTTTCTTGTGCTCAATTGATAGAACAGAAGGCATACTAGTGCAAAAGCCAGGAATTGGGTCGGTTTGGACAATGGATTGAGGCATATTTTAGGCCTCAAATTGAGGGAAATTACTGATATATAATTGTGCCCAGACTACCAAATTCATGCTTGCATTGTTCCATAAGTTTTCCACCAAATGTCCCATATTTTAGTAACATTACCTTCCGGATAAGATTCTCTACCATTTTACAAGATAATTTTTTTTAAAAGTACAACATTGATGGACTTATTTTTGGAGGTCGTGAGAGTGAAAGAGTTAATAATGCATAACTCCCATGTCATTAGCATTCAAGAGGATTGCAACTATTAATTAGAATATAATCAAATGGGCACATAATTAGCCTTTCTGTGAGCTATTGAAAATTATCTTTGTGCTGTGTTGTTATATTTTAAATTGTTCCAACAGGCTGTTGTTGCAACTATTGCATTTGGCATGGGAATTGACAAACCTGATGTCCGATTTGTAATTCATCATTGTATTTCCAAGTCAATGGAAAACTTTTACCAGGTGAGCAAAGCATTTTAAATTTTTTTGATAGAATATAGATACAAATACTGTGCATTAAGTACATGTATTTGTGTGTGTGCTTGTGCTCATGTGTGCACACAGACACACCCTAAAGTGAAGAATATCTGTTTTATCTTCCTTCATGTTTACAAAGATCACAAAAATATTTACCAAATGGAGGGTGTGAGCCCATGGCAATCTAGTCTTAAAACTAGGAAGCAAGTACTCCATCCGCTGTACCATGCCGGTCTAAGATTTAACCAGCTAGGTAAATTTCTGTATACCATATGAAGGTTATAATGGTCCCCACTGTGACCACAAATGCAGGTTTTTACAGAGGAGTGTCACTGGCATGGCTATGGTGTGCTCTAGCTAAAATCCCTTAAAAGCCATATTTGTGGTTAGTGTATAGAAATATTGTACACTTAATCTGGCACATCTTATTATTCCAGTATAATACAGTGACTAGTGCACTGATCTGCTTGTTCTGGGACTGGCTTGCCATGGGTTCACACCTTGTTTGGCTAGCTGTTTACAACCATGTCATTACAGTTTTGTAAATTACCACAAAAATAAATTTGTAATTGTAGTAAAATGAGGAACTGGTATCATAGTATGTATTTTGCTTACAGGAAAGTGGAAGAGCAGGGAGAGATGGCAAGCCTGCAAAATGTATTGTTTTCTGGAGGTTTGCAGATTTAAATCGACAGAGCACAATGGTGTTCACAGAACAGACTGGACTAGAGAATCTCTATGGGTTGATTAGCTATTGTATAGACAGTCATAGGTAAGTTTTTTTTTTTTTAAACATGACTATCTCCCACTCCTAGGTAGTAGGTTGGTAGCACAGTAACCGCCCAGGGAGGTACTACCATCTTGCCAAGTGAGTGTAAAACAGAGGCCTGTAACTGCTTTACATGATGTCTTTTCTCTGTCTCATACATATGCAAAGTTTCAGGTACATCTTGCTACTTCTGCTTACACTTCGGTCACACTACACATGCATGTACAATCTTATATATACACGCCCCTCTGGATTTTCTTCTATTTTCTTACTAGTTCTTATTCTTGTTTATTTCCTCTTTTCTCCATGGGAAAGTGGAACAGAATTCTTCCTCTGTAAGGCATGCGTGTTGTAAGAGACGACTAAAATGCCGGAAGCAAGGGGCTAGTAACCCCTTCTCCTGTATATATATTACTAAATTTAAAAGGAGAAACTTTTGTTTTTCCTTTTGGGCCACCCCGCCTCGGTGGGATACGACTAGTGCGTTGCAAGAAGAAAGACCATCTCCCACTGAGATAGGGTAACCTGAAAAAGATTTTCTTCTTTTTATATTTAGTAATGTGTATAGAAAGGGTTACTTAGTCCCTTGCTCCCTCATAGGTAAGTTATATTCTTTAAAATGTTTGCTTGTCTGCCAAATGATGGTTCCCAAGATCACCGGCCCTGCAGCCAAGGTTCTTTGATCAGTTTTCTTGGTTGATGATCAGATCAATTAGCTGATGGTATTGGAAACTTACATTTTGCCATCCTGGCTGATTATGAGTTTCTTTAAATAACTTGACAAGGTTTGTTTTCATTTGGAATTTTAATGGGAATGTCCTTGTTCTCTCTGCTATGGTGATGATTAGCTAAGTGGTGAGACTGCTTGGCTCAAAACCAAAAGCTACCAAATTTGATTTCCAGGCCCAGTGAAACATATGGGCCATTCTCCTTACACCCAGATGAACCTGGCCCATGGTTGGGCTCTGGGAGTAGAACAGCTCTTGGAGATCATCAAAGGTAAAGGTATACCCCTAATCACCTAGTATTTACAATAGGTACCTTTGTGTTAGCCACATGTGGGTTGTATCTTGGGAAAAAATGCAGCACTGATGTGTGATAAACTCAGTCCTACTGTTAGTATTATTATGGTTAAAATAGTAATAGAGGAACAAGAATGGAATAACCAAAGAAAGTCTAGCAGTGTCATATATTTTCATTCAGGTCCTTGCTTAGGTCCTTAGGATGTGATCCACAATGGTCAGCTAACTTGCAGGTATCTTTTTACTGCTAGGTACTGGGGCAACAGGCATTAAGGTACCTGCCCATACGTCCCTCGTTTTATAGAATTAGATATTCCCCTGTCCTCTTGAGCTTAATGCACTAACCATTGTGCCGAGAGGCACCTTAATGTGTAAGAAAGCTCCATACCCAGTGGAAGTACAGTATTCAGATGTTGAGTAAAAGTTACATGCTTCTTAATAAGCATGGTTCAAAGTATTCATTGATAATGGCAAGTTATTCCAAATTTTGAGTTTTTAATTTTCACACAAATAATATACGCTGTTGTATTAGGATTATTCAGTTTTCTAGTGTATGCCTTGAATTTTTTAACAGTACTGTATGTATATTAGTAAAGATGCTGTCTTGAGGGTAAAAATTGAGAACTTTTACAGATTTTATTTAACCCGTAAACGGTCCAAACGTATATATATACATTTTTTCAACATTTGAAAGTATGTAAAAAGAGTAGATCTTCTTTTTGTTTTTTACATTTGAAAATATGTAAAAATACTTTGATCTACTTCTTTTTTTTTTTGTTACATTTGAAAATATGTAAAAAAAAAACGTAGATCTACTTTTGTAGCACTACTCGTGAACATAGATCTGCTTTTGTAGCACTACTCGTGAACGTAGATCTACTTTTGTAGCACTACTCGTGAACGTAGATCTGCTTGGACCATTTACGGATCAATATACGTCTCCCTTGTTTTCTGCTGTAGATGCGTTCCAGATCCTTGGTATCTATACTAAGCTCAGTTAGGCCATAAACACTTGTAAACAAAGAACCTTCACTGCATTTTGCAAAATGTGCCTGTCGCATATACAGGATTACCAGTAAAAATAGGTCATTGCATCATATCAAATTTATATGAAGTGAAGGAGACCTTGGATGAGTCATTGACATACATACACACATATACATACATACACACATATACATACATACACACATATACATACAGACACACATATATGTACATATCTACACGCATGTATACATACATACATGCTGTAATTACACATAGCTAGCTAATAAATTCAGTTCAATAACATTTACTAAAAGTTATTTACAGTGAAAGAAGTCCAAATGCTTAATATTGCTGGCAGGTGTCGGAGAAATATCATTGCTGAGCACTTCGATGAAAGATGGGAGAGCGCAGATTGCCGTGGAATGTGTGATCACTGCAGAACTCCGAGAGAAACAAAGAATTTGGACACCACAAAATATGGTGAAAATGTGCTGTTGATACTTACAAAGGCTGCTAGCATGAATGAGAGACTAACTGGTAAGTAATGTATTAATAATTATGAGAATTTTTTACAAAGCAGAAGTGTTATAAGAAGAGCAGAGTATATAGAGAGTAAAAGAAAGGTGAAGAGAGTGGTGAGAGAGTGCAAAAGGAAAGCAGATGATAGAGTGGGAGAGGCACTGTTAAGAAATTTTGAGGAAAATAAGAAAAAATTTTGGAGTGAGTTAAACAAGTTAAGAAAGCCTAGGGAACGAATGGATTTGACAGTTAAAAACAGAGTAGGGGAGTTAGTAGACGGAGAGATGGAGGTATTGGGTAGATGGCGTGAATATTTTGAGGAACTTTTAAATGTCGACGAAGAAAGGGAGGCGGTAATTTCATACATTGGCCAGGGAGATATACCATCTTTTAGGAGTGAAGAAGAGCAGAATGTAAGTGTGGGGGAGGTGCGTGAGGCATTACGTAGAATGAAATGGGGTAAAGCAGCTGGAACTGACGGGATCATGACAGAAATGTTAAAAGCAGGGGGGATATAGTGTTAGAGTGGTTGGTTTTATTTATTTAAAATTATTAACACACTGGCCGATTCCCACCAAGGCAGGGTGGCCTGAAAAAGAAAAACTTTCACCATCATTCACTCCATCACTGTCTTGCCAGAAGGGTGCTTTACACTACAGTTTTTAAACTGCAACATTAAAACTCATACATTAACATTCATACATTAAAATGTATGAGAGAGGGGAAGGTACCTAGGGATTGGCAGAGAGCATGTATAGTTCCTTTATATAAAGGGAAAGGGGACAAAAGAGATTGTAAAAATTATAGAGGAATTAGTTTACTGAGTATACCAGGAAAAGTGTACTGTAGAGTTATTATTGAAAGAATTAGAGGTAAGACAGAATGTAGGATTGTGGATGAGCAAGGAGGTTTTAGAGTGGGTAGGGGATGTGTAGATCAAGTGTTTACATTGAAGCCTATACTTGAACAATATTTAGATAAAGGTAGAGTAGTTTTCATTGCATTTATGGATTTAGAAAAGGTATATGATAGTGGATAGGGGAGCAATGTGGCAGATGTTGCAAGTACAGTGGAACCTCAAAAATCGAACTGCTCCCAACACAACCAATTATGTAAGTGTATTTTTGTAAGTGCTTTTATAAGTGTATTTTCGAGGGTCTGAAATGGACTAATCTAATTTACATTATTCCTGATGGGAATAAATTCATTCGGTAAAGGCACTCGAACAGCCTTCTGGACCGAAAAAAGTTCGATATTTGAGGTTCCACTGTATATAGAATAGGTAGTAAGTTACTAAATGCTGTAAAGAGTTTTTATGAGGATAGTGAGGTTCAGGTTAGGGTGTGTAGAAGAGAGGGAGACTGCTTCCTGGTAAAAATAGGTCTTAGACAGGGATGTGTAATATCACCATGGTTGTTTAATATACGTATTTATAGATTGGGTTATAAAAGAAATAAATGCTAGGGTATTCGGGAGAGGGGTGAGATTAAATTATGGGGAATGAAATACAAAATGGGAATTGACACAGTTACTTTTTTGCTGATGATACTGTGCATATAGGAGATCCTCAAGAAAAATTGCAAAGGTTAGTGGACGAGTTTGGGAGAGTGTGTAAAGGTAGAAAGTTGAAAGTGAACATAGAAAAGAGGGTCTCAAATGATTTAGATAAAAAAAAATTGGATATCAGATTGAAGAGTAGTAGTATGGAAAAAGTGAATGTTTTTGGATATTTGGGAGTTGACATGTCAGCAGATGGATTTATGAAGGATGAGGTTAATCATAGAATTGATGAAGGAAAAAAGGTGAGTGGTGCGTTGAGGTATGTGTGGAGACAAAAAACGTTATCTATGGAGGCAAAGAAGAGAATGTATGAAAGTATAGTGGTACCAACACTCTTATATGGGTGTGAAGCTTGGGTTGTAAATGCTGCAGCAAGGAGATGGTTGGAGGCAGTGGAGATGTACTGTCTAAGGGCAATGTGTGGTGTAAATATTATGCATAAAATTCAGAGTGTGGAAATTAGGAGAAGGTGTGGAGTTAATAAAAGTATTAGTCAGAGGGCTGATGAGGGGTTGTTGAGGTGGTTTGGTCATTTAGAGAGAATGGATCAAAGTAGAATGACATGGAGAGCGTATAAATCTGTAGGGGAAGGAAGGTGGGGTAGGGGTCGTCCTTGAAAAGGTTGGAGGGAGGGGGTAAAGGAGGTATTGTGGGTGAGGGGCTTGGACTTCCATTAAGCGTATGTGAGAGTTTTAGATAGGAGTGAATTGAGACGAATGGTATTTGGGACCTGACAAGCTGTTGGAGTTTGAGCAGGGTAATATTTAGTGAAGGGATTCAGGTAGTAGGTTGGTAGACAGCAACCACCCAGGGAGGTACTACCGTCCTGCCAAGTGAGTGTAAAACGAAGCCTGTGATTGTTTTACATGATGGTAGGATTGCTGATGTCTTTTGTCTGTCTCATAAATATGCAAGATTACAGGCATGTCTTGCTACTTCTACTTACACTTAGGTCACACTACACATACATGTACACATTTATTTATACACACTCATCTGAGTTTTCTTTGATTTTATCTTAATAGTTCTTGGTCTTATTAATTTTCCTTTTATATCCATGGGGAAGTGGAATAAGATCTTTCCTACCGTAAGCCATGCGTGTTGTAAAGTCAACTAAAATGCCGGGAACAATGGGCTAGTAACCCCTTTTCCTGTAAAGATTACTAAAAAGAATAAGAAGAAGAAAATTGTCAAAGTGGGAAGTCTGAATGTGCGTGGATGTTGTGCAGATGATAAGAAAGAGATGATTGTGGATGTTATGAATGAGAAGAAGCTGGATGTCCTGGCTTTAAGTGAAACAAAGCTGAAGGGGGTGGGAGAGTTTCAGTGGAGAGGAATAAATGGATTAGGTCAGGGGTTTCAAATAGAGTTAGAGCTAAAGAAGGAGTAGCAATAATGTTGAAGGATAAGCTATGGCAGGAAAAGAGGGACTATAAATGTATTAATTCAAGGATTATGTGGAGTATAAAATAAAGATTGGATGTGAAAAGTGTGGTTATAATAAGCGTGTATGCACCTGGAGAAGAGAGAAGTGTAGAGGAGAGAGAGAGATTTTGGGAAATGTTGAGTGAATGCGTGGGGAGTTTTGAATCAAGTGTGAGAGTAATGGTGGTTGGGGATTTTAATGCTAAGTGGGTAAAAATGTTATGGAGGGAGTATAGTAGGTAAATTTGGGGTGCCAGGGGTAAATGTAAATGGGGAGCCTTTAATTGAGCTATTGTAGAAAGAAATTTGGTAATAAGTAATACATATTTATGAAAAAGAGGATAAAATAAATATACAAGGTATGATGTACACGTAATGAAAGTAGTTTATTAGATTATGTATTGGTGGATAAAAGGTTGATGGGTAGGCTCCAGGATGTACATGTTTATAGAGGGGCAACTGATATATCGGATCATTATTAGTTGTAGCTACAGTTAGAGTAAGAGGTAGATGGGAAAAGAGGAAGGTGGCAACAACAAGTAAGAGGGAAGTGAAAGTGTATAAACTAAGGGAGGAGGAAGTTCGGGTGAGATATAAGCGACTATTGGCAGAAAGGTGGGCTAGTGCAAAGATGAGTAGTGGGGGGGTTGAAGAGGGTTGGAATAGTTTTAAAAATGCAGTATTAGAATGTGGGGCAGAAGTTTGTGGTTATAGGAGAGTGGGGGCAGGAGGAAAGAGGAGTGATTGGTGGAATGATGAAGTAAAGGGTGTGATAAAAGAGAAAAAGGTAGCTTATGAGAGGTTTTTACAAAGCAGAAGTGTTATAAGAAGAGCAGAGTATATGGAGAGTAAAAAAGGTAAAGAGAGTGGTGAGAGAGTGCAAAAGGAGAGCAGATGATAGAGTGGGAGAGGCACTGTCAAGAAATTTTAATGAAAATAAGAAAAAAATTTTGCGAGTGAGTTAAACAAGTTAAGAAAGCCTAGGGAAAATATGGATTTGTCAGTTAAAAACAGAGTAGGGGAGTTAGTAGATGGGAGATGGAGGTATTGGGTAGATGGCGAGAATATTTTGAGGAACTTTTAAATGTTAAGGAAGAAACAGAGGCAGTAATTTCATGCACTGGTCAGGGAGGTATACCATCTTTTAGGAGTGAAGAAGAGCAGAATGTAAGTGTGGGGGAGGTACGTGAGGCATTACGTAAAATGAAAGGGGGTAAAGCAGCTGGAACTGATGGGATCATGACAGAAATGTTAAAAGCAGGGGGGGATATAGTGTTGGAGTGGTTGGTACTTTTGTTTAATAAATGTATGAAAGAGGGAAGGTACCTAGGGATTGGCAGAGAGCATGTATAGTCCCTTTATATAAAGGGAAAGGGGACAAAAGAGACTGTAAAAATTATAGAGGAATAAGCTTACTGAGTATACCAGGAAAAGTGTACGGTAGGGTTATAATTGAAAGAATTAGAGGTAAGACAGAATGTAGGATTGCGGATGAGCAAGGAGGTTTTAGAGTGGGTAGGGGATGTGTAGATCAGGTGTTTACATTGAAGCATATATGTGAACAGTATTTAGATAAAGATAGGGAAGTTTTTATTGCATTTATGGATTTAGAAAAGGCATATGATAGAGTGGATAGAGGAGCAATGTGGCAGATGTTGCAAGTATATGGAATAGGTGGTAAGTTATTAAATGCTGTAAAGAGTTTTTATGAGGATAGTGAGGCTCAGGTTAGGGTGTGTAGAAGAGAGGGAGACTACTTCCCGGTAAAAGTAGGTCTTAGACAGGGATGTGTAATGTCACCATGGTTGTTTAATATATTTATAGATGGGGTTGTAAAGGAAGTAAATGCTAGGGTGTTTGGGAGAGGGGTGGGATTAAATTATGGGGAATCAAATTCAAAATGGGAATTGACACAGTTACTTTTTGCTGATGATACTGTGCTTATGGGAGATTCTAAAGAAAAATTGCAAAGGTTAGTGGATGAGTTTGGGAATGTGTGTAAAGGTAGAAAGTTGAAAGTGAACATAGAAAAGAGTAAGGTGATGAGGGTGTCAAATGATTTAGATAAAGAAAAATTGGATATCAAATTGGGGAGGAGGAGTATGGAAGAAGTGAATGTTTTCAGATACTTGGGAGTTGACGTGTCGGCGGATGGATTTATGAAGGATGAGGTTAATCATAGAATTGATGAGGGAAAAAAGGTGAGTGGTGCGTTGAGGTATATGTGGAGTCAAAAAACGTTATCTATGGAGGCAAAGAAGGGAATGTATGAAAGTATAGTAGTACCAACACTCTTATATGGGTGTGAAGCTTGGGTGGTAAATGCAGCAGCGAGGAGACGGTTGGAGGCAGCGGAGATGTCCTGTTTAAGGGCAATGTGTGGTGTAAATATTATGCAGAAAATTCGGAGTGTGGAAATTAGGAGAAGGTGTGGAGTTAATAAAAGTATTAGTCAGAGGGCAGAAGAGGGGTTGTTGAGGTGGTTTGGTCATTTAGAGAGAATGGATCACAGTAGAATGACATGGAAAGCATATAAATCTATAGGGGAAGGAAGGCGGGGTAGGGGTCGTCCTCGAAAGGGTTGGAGAGAGGGGGTAAAGGAGGTTTTGTGGGTAAGGGGCTTGGACTTCCAGCAAGCGTGCGTGAGCGTGTTAGATAGGAGTGAATGGAGACGAATGGTACTTGGGACCTGACGATCTGTTGGAGTGTGAGCAGGGTAATATTTAGTGAAGGGATTCAGGGAAACCGGTTATTTTCATATAGTCGGACTTGAGTCCTGGAAATGGGAAGTACAATGCCTGCACTTTAAAGGAGGGGTTTGGGATATTGGCAGTTTGGAGGGATATGTTGTGTATCTTTATATGTTTATGCTTCTAGACTGTTGTATTCTGAGCACCTCTGCAAAAACAGTGATAATGTGCGAGTGTGGTGAAAGTGTTGAATGATGATGAAAGTATTTTCTTTTTGGGGATTTTCTTTCTTTTTTGGGTCACCCTGCCTCGGTGGGAGACGGCCGACTTGTTGAAAAAAAAAAAAAAAAAAAAAAAAAAAAAAATTCAGGGAAACCGGTTATTTTTATATAGCTGGACTTGAGTCCTGGAAATGGGAAGTACAGTGCCTTCACTTTAACCCTTTGACTGTTTTGGTTGTATATATACGTCTTACGAACCACTGTTTTTGACATATATATACTCATAAATTCTACCGGCTTCAAATCAAGCAGGAGAAAGCTGGTAGGCCCACATGTGAGAGAATGGGTCTGTGTGGTCAGTGTGCACCTTATAAAAAAAATCCTGCAGCATGCAGTGCATAATTAGAAAAAAACTCCAACTGTTTTTTTTTAATTAAAATGCCAACTTTATGGTCTATTTTCGTATAGTATTTATGGTTGTATTCTCGTTTTCTTGGTCTCATTTGATAGAATGGAAAACATATTATAGAAATAGAGGTGATCTTGATTGGTTTTACTATGAAAAGAACCTTGAAATGGAGCTCAAAGTAGGGGAAATGTTTGATTTTTGCTAATATTCAAAAGTAAACAAATGATGTCATTTTCCAATAAATGTCCAAGTAGCCATTTTAATATGCAATCATGAATGGTTGACATTATTTATACAATTATTACAATATTGCAGTAGTCTACATAAGAGTAAATCTTCTATTTTTTGTTTGAATAAAAATTCAAAATAGAAAGCAAGAGTAATATCAGAGGGGCTTGGAGACGTGACTGATGAACAAAGAAAATGTTATTTTAGAGCCAGGAATGTCTGCATTGTTCATTCTGGATCCTATTTTGAAATTGTCATATTTTTTAATTTTCGTGAAATTGGCCAAATTGCAAATTTCTGACCACATTATTGGGTAGTTGAAATTGGTAAATGGGCAGTTTCTTGTACTCAATCGATAGAAAAAATGGAGTTCTAAAGAAATAGCTGAGTTTGGTTGACTGGAACAATGGAATTACCCAAAAATAGGGCTCAAAGTGGGCGAAATCGCCAATTTGTGAATATCGCCGAGGTCGCTAACTTCGTGAGAGCGTAATTCCATCAGTTTTCCATCAAATTTCGTTCTTTTGGTGTCATTACAATCGGGAAAAGATTCTCTATCATTTCATAAGAAAAAATATTTTTTTTTTTTTAAATTTTGCAACACCAGAAGATACCTCAGGATTTGGGATTGCGACAGTCAAGGGGTTAAAGGAGGGGTTTGGGATATTGGCAGTTTGGAGGGATATGTTGTGTATCTTTATACATATATGCGTCTAAGCTGTTGTATTCTGAGCACCTCTGCAAAAACAGTGATTATGTATGAGGTGAAAGTGTTGAATGATGGTGAAAGTATTTTCTCTTTGGGGATTTTCTTTCTATTTGGGTCACCCTGCCTCGGTGGGAGATGGCCGACTTGTTAAAAAAAAAAAATTATAAATTCCTTTTAAATACCATTTTTGTCTTGATGTGAATAGGAGACTTTTAGAAAAACTGAAATTCTGACATGTAAATATCTGTCCCCTACGACAGCAACTATGCTGTCGTAGGGGACTTATATTGTTTCTATAATCCAGTAGGCAATGTCAACAGGTGCCCATGGATAGGCATGGTGAATGGTGTATTTTTTACAACTTTGCCTTTGGGTAAAGGCCAGACTAATTTCTGCTACCAGTGGTGGGCTTCCATAAGGGTCACTGGCTCCACCTATCAGAGAGACTGTTCTTTAATTAACCCTTAAACGGTCCAAACGTATATATACGTTCACTCGCGTAGCGCCCCAACTTTTTTGAGGAAAAAAAACAATCTTTTCTTTCAAAAGGAAAAAAGAGCATATGGTACCCAGGCATCCCCAATTATTTTAATATGGCACACTGAGTGCGCACACCCATTCTCTCATGTCTAGGTGACTCAGGCTTAATGTGGCAATGTTGAATGAATGACAAAGAAAACGTATATATACGTTTGGGGCGCTACGCGTGTGGACGTATATATATGTTTGGACCGTTTAAGGGTTAAGTCTCCTTACTATGCATTGTACTGTACCTACCAGTCTTGCTATATTCATCTCATGGATAGGCAAGAGATGCTTACCAGGTCATCATAAGCATAAGATTATCTTGTGTGTTTTCAAGCACACTGTTTATTTTCAACACCTCTGTTCTCTGTACTTACACTGTTGGCCTCTGTAAAGGTGCCACCTGTAATGTGAATTTTGTCTGTTTTTGTCAAAGATATCTGTAGCATCTAATTTTTACATTTGTTTCCTATTTTTTGACTGCTTTATTTCCCTTTGCATTCTGTAGCTTCTGCTCCTTTCTTCTAGTGTGCACTTTCCACTACACAGCACTAAATGACTCTTGCATTTTGTACTTTTCATTAGTATTTTTATTCTAAATGTGTCTGTAGCAATGTGTCTATAGATATGAACTTTGTAATTATGGTATGGTAAGTCTTGTTTTATGCTCACTTTTAACCATGTTTCTCTGAATTCTTTGGTAAGAATTTAAATGAGGCAGCATACATACCTAGGATGGCCATTCTGCAGTCACCAGAAGACTATTAGAAAGGCAGTCATTTGGAGACATAATTTTTAGTTTAATATCAGAAGGAAATTGGTCCTGGACAGACTGAAATGTCATCATGAGTTTTCTCTTCTACTTTCAGGTTATTTATGAATGAGTTACTAAAAGTATTAGTCAGAGGGCTGAAGAGGGATTGTTGAGGTGGTTTGGTCATTTAAAGAGAATGGATCAAAGTAGAATGACTTGGAGAGTGTATAAATCTGTAGGGGAAGGAAGGCAGGGTAGGGGTCGTCCTCGAAAAGGTTGGAGGGAGGGGTAAAGGAGGTTTTGTGGGCAAGGGGTTTGAACTTCCAGCAAGCATGCATGAGCGTGTTAGAAGTGAATGGAGACGAATGGTTTTTTGGGACCTGACGAGCTATTGGAATGTGAGCAGGGTAGTATTTTGTGAAGGGATTCAGGGAAACTGGTTAGCTGGGCTTGATCCCTGGAAATGGGAAGTACAATGCCTGCACTTTAAAGTAAGGGTTTGGGATATTGGCAGTTTGGATGGACTTCTAAACTGTCGTATCTGAGAGCCTCTGCAAAGACAGTGATTATGTACGAGTAAGGTGAGTGTTGAATGATGAAAGTATTTTCTTTCTTTTTGGGTTACCCTGCCTCGGTGGGAGATGGTTGACACGTTAAAAAAAAAAAAGACAGTTTACAGAATGAAGGCCTTTGTCTAGTGACAGCTTGCTGTCTGTTGATTTTTAACCTTTGCCATAAATTTATAGCCCTCAACACCTAGCACCAGAAGAAAGACTAGCTTTGCAAGCTCTCTCTACTAGGCTGTATATGAAGTTGAAAATACAATATGAAATTGCTACCTACTGGGTATACCTGGAGGGTATTCCAGGGGGTCAGTTCCCCTGTGACCTTGTCCATGAAAATTTGTTTAATTTTTCAGGTCAAAAGCTTATTGATCTTTTCCTGGGCAAGGGTCCTACAAAGCTGCGCATAAAAGAAGCAACGCAACAAGGATTACCAAGAGAGAGGGCCGAAAACATTGTGGCTTTCCTTCTCATTGATGGTTTTCTTAAAGAAGACTTTCATTTCACTCCATACAATACAATCAGCTACATTGTACCAGGTGAATCTTAAGATTGTATATTGTTATACTAGTTGAGTTGGTTTTAGATAATTATTCAGTTAATATTGGTTTTTAGGCACTTTAATTTTATTAGTTGGAAATACTATAGTTAATCATAGGTTTTATATGTATATGATGATTAATGATAATTGTAGATTGTTTACATCTAATCATGTTAATTATTGTACAGTGGAACCTCCACTCACGAGTTTAATCCGTTCCATGGATTTTCTCGTTTTCAGAGTCAATTTTCCTCATTTAAATAATTGAAATGCAATTAATCCATTCCAGTGGAATTCCAGGCACGACAAAATACTTCAATAATTTCCCTAATATCAACTCTGCGACTTATTTATCTATCACAATTCATCTAATATGACATAATAAACAATATTAATAACATAGAAACATGATATATACACTAGACTGAATAAAATACATGTCATTAAGTATGTGGCTAGTGGTGGCGAGTGGCAATTGTTGTTGGGGTTTATAGGGCCACCACAGCGGACATTCCTGCTCCTGACTACGTGTAGAGAACCTAGGATAACCCAAAAGTCAGAGAGTGACTTACAATTGCTGCAATTTGTCACAGACTCCTTCTCCTTAAGTATTGTATATATCGTAGAAGTGGTACACTTGTACTGTCCTTAACCCTCCATCTAGTTTATCTAAGATTTCCTGCTTTAATTCAATGGAAATCATCCTCTTTTTCTTCTCAGCACTGTCCTTTGCACTTGCTTTCTTAGGACACATGGTTAGAAACAAGAAATTTTGCAAAATAACTGCATGAAACATAAGGAAAACACGAGAATTCCCTCCACAGCGAGTGGAGTGGACTGCTGCTTCATGATGTCGGCTCCCACTTTTGCTAGCGTGTTGAAGAGCTTTCCAATATGTGAAGGTTGAGGGGCAGTGCCAATCATCTTTCCATCATACATTGCCCAAGTTTCGTTACGATAGTCCAACAAACAACTGAGATCCAATTCCCTAGATCAAAAGCTAGAGCCCTTCACCAGCATCAAGGAACCTCCCTTGAGGCCTGCTTGCATCTGGAAATTTCGCTCTTGTATGGAAGCAAAAAATCGACTGAGCGACTGCTCGTCTCTGGAAAAACTCGCACGTGGATGCGCTCGTAAGTGGAGGTTCCACTGTGTTATATATAATGAATATAGGTATAAAACCCCAACTTCAACAACAGGGTATGTGGAAGCATAAAATGATCTAAAACCAACCTAGATAATCTCCATAAGGAAAAACTAGTAACTGTCTAACAGACAATGCCAAGGTGCTGCCTTAATACCATGAAGGGTACTGAATCCAGGGATCTGGAGCTACCCTCCATTTTAATCTGACTTCATTTGGCCAGTGTTAAAATTTACGGATTACTGTTCAGATTTCGCATGTCAATTTCTTGAATTTCCATAGTTTAATATCAAGAGTTTCTTTGTGTTATAAAGAAAAAAGTTGCAATTTTTCAGTAGCATTTAGTCAAGATTACATTATGTAGGGTCATGTTATAAGAGGATTTACTATAGTTTGCTGGCTAGTGCATACTTTAACATTTATAATAGACTTATTCGTGTCTTGCAATAACTCATCAGATGAAAGTGTATTAAAAATTTGGACATTAATAATGTCATTGCTATTGCAGGTCCAAAGGCAGAAGCTGGAGTACCACCAAGCTCATTAATTGTTGGAGGCATAAAGAAATTATCAAATACTTCTGGCAGCCTTTTTTCTCCCTCAGAAAAAACTATCAATACTCAACTAAAACTATGTGCCTCAAACAGTGAAGAAAAGGTAAGACACATGAAGAAAGTTGACATTAAATCAAAGAAAAATAAACCTTTGAAAAATGACAGTAAGGACACCAATAGCTGTGACACACCTAGCAACAGTAATAGTTATAACAGCAAGAGGAATGTTAGCAAAATTACTAATGGCCTCAGTAGCAAAGATCAGAATCTAATGTCAAAGTTTTCTCAAAAACAGGAACACGTGATTGATTGTGTTAGTCAGTTGAAGGATAGTTCCAAAAGTATTGTGAAAACTGCTCCATCAGAGAAGACACCTCAATTCGTTGATATCTCTTCTGATGAGGAATATAATTTTGATGATAGTGTCCAGCCAAGCTCATCTAAAAGGAGGAGAATCATCACTATAGATAATTCTAGTGATGATTCAGACAACTGAAGTACAAATGTGAATCCATTAATAGTGAAAATTATTTTGATAATTTTTTCTATACTTAGCTACAAAGACTGAACACTTATCGCCAGTGCTGACTCGACTAGTTAAGGGCCATTCAGTGCTACATGGCCAAGGCAAGAGAGATGAAGGGGTGTTGTATCACCAACCATTTGCATCCAGTGAGAAAGGATATAATAAAAGGTAAGGGAAGTTACTTGTATACATTGTAGACACAATATCAAAGAAGTGTCGCTAAAAGAAAAAAAAAAGTTAAATACAAAATATTTCATTTAGATTTACCATTTATGTTGCTAATGCAAGTGAAGAAATTATTCATGGTCGATTTTGTCTGGAGCAATCAACTGGCGTCAGGCAGATAAATATTGTAATGTTGGTGGAATTGTCAACATTGTATCAAGTAAAAGGACATGTGCAACTGTGATAATTGCAACAATGTTTTTCTTTCCAGAAGCTTTGTCAAGCTTGACAAAGCGTCTTTTGCCACAAAATGTCACATTAGTTGCACGTGTTCTGTAACATAAGAAATATTGCAAGAATAAAGGCAAAGTTTTCAGGACACTGGCTGTTCATGGGAGGTGCCAGGTGCCTTGATGCCAGTTGAAGACTTCTGCAAGGAATTGGGGCTGCCTTTGATTTCCTTGGATCATACCTGATTGCCTCCCATTTCCCAGCACTTCCCCATTAAAATAGCATTTTTATTACATTCATGGGGGATGGAAGGAATCTTAAACCTTTAGTGGTCATGGTGCCTGGAAGAATGATAGACAGTTGGGTTAAATCCAAGGAATGGGATGTGTGGTTAAATTCCATGGATCAAGAGGGCCCCTTCCTCCCTCACTGACTAGAGCAGTAAGAGTTTAGAGCCTAAACTTTACAAAGTAACTACCCCAACATTCAGTACATTAATGACTTCTGTGGCTTCAAAAATGACGTCATTTTTTGCAGTATCACCAAAGTGTAGTTAAACCACAACATAATTAACATCTTCAATTATTGTAAGCACAATACATTTGCTGGAATTAATACTATATAGTATTTGTATAAATTGCTAACCTGTCAGTCATACTAATTTTTTTTTTTTTTTTTTTTTTTTTTCCAACAAGTCGGTCGTCTCCCACCGAGGCAGGGTGACCCAAAAAAAAAAAGAAAGAAAATCCCCAAAAAGAAAATACTTTCATCATCATTCAACACTTTCACCACACTCACACATTATCACTCCTTTTGCAGAGGTGCTCAGAATACAACAGTTTAGAAGCATATACATATAGAGATAAACATATCCCTTCAAACTGCCAATATCCCAAACCCCTCCTTTAAAGTGCAGGCTAAAATTGATATAGGGTCTATACTAAAACTATTTATAAAGAACAAAAAGGCACAATACTATGACTGGAACAATACACAAATAATCCACACATGGGAGAGGAGCTTATGACTAAGTCAGGCCAAAATTTCATTGGAAGCTCCCCTCTGCTGTGTGTGGGTTATTTGTGAATTGATTTTAAAGTTATGTTACATTATAAAAGCCACAGATTCTGTGTGTCAGTTTTCTTGCACTATCATGACACTTCTTTCTAAAAAAAAAAATGTATCTCGCTGCAAATCTGAAAGGTTCCACACAGCTAAAATCCTCCAAGAGAGTTCCTTGATGTTGGTGGACTTCTGATTCAAGGACTAGAAGCTACTCTTCCTGTCATTCCAGAGAAACTATGATCCCTCCCTGTCCAAATCAATGGGGTCAGTTGTTTACACATGAACTAAAGAAAAACAGTACAGTTTTAGAAATATAATGAAGTCACATTCTGATTACTATCAATACCTGAACCTAATCTGTCTCAAGGGACCCTTTTGGGAAATACACAAGTACTTAATCTGTAGGTTTTGTGCATATGTAATTATTTTTATTCAAGGGGGATGTTAAATCGTGTGGGTCATAGAGCACCTAGAAAAAATGGGAGGCACTAAGGTAAGGGTAGATCTAATGCCTTGGATCAAGAGCCCCTCATTAGCATCGAGGAACTTGCCTAGAGTGATATGAAGGTAATAATCTGGCTCTTATCTGCCATTCTATGTATTTCTTTCCGTTCTTCGAGTGTTTCAATGCTGGTGAATGGTTATGTACACTGTCAGAGATGTTAAGGCAGTGATTAATTTTCCAGGAGCTTTATCAAGTCAATACACTAAACACAGCTCCTGGAGAGCAAAACAGCCGCAGTAAAATGTCACATTAGTTGTTCATGTGTCCTTGTCTACCTAGTAATATGAAAGTCTCTAGATTCAAGGAGTTGGAGGTAAACTTCCCTTTCTAGGATGAAACCTGATTGCCTCCAGTTCCCCAGGTGCTGAATATAGACATAACTCATACACTTTTATATGAAAAGAATGGAATGCAATCCACAGTTTCATGGCATGCTAGCTGTACCAAGTTATGCAAATTGTTTGACCTTTTGAATTTCCTAAATAAGAAGAAAAATTTAGAATTTCAGTTCTGGAAGTATTTCTGAATGACAGTCAAATTTTACGAAGAGTAAATAATACAATAAAATTAAACGCTAAGCCCAAAAGGGTCTTTCCTAGAGTTAAGAATACGAAATCGAATTTGGAAAACTCCAATTTAGATTTTTCTGCATAAAATCATCTGAATTTTTTTAATTTAATTTTTTTTTCTCTAAATAAGTTTCCTTTCTACACACTGTTTTCAGAAATAATTTTTCCATGTAGAATATCTAACTGAGAGACCTCTCTATGAGTTACAAAATGTAACACCAGGACCAAAAAAAAAAGTAAAAAAAGGAAACAAAAGAAAGAAAAAAAGTCAAAGATTAGAATCAAATATGTCGAGAGCCACACCAAGAGATTTCATCTTGTCCAGGGTAACAACATGGCCAGCCACCTCACGAATGTGCTTTGCTTCTTCCTCTAGTTTGTCATCGAAGTAATGGCTAATCTAAAAAAAAAAAAAATAGAAAAAAAAAGTAAGTAATATTAATGAAGAATATGCAAGTAAATGATAAACTTGGTCATTAAGAATCAAGAGATGGATATACAGTGGACCCCCGCATAACGATTACCTCCGAATGTGACCAATTATGTAAGTGTATTTATGTAAGTGCGTTTGTACGTGTATGTTTGGGGGTCTGAAATGGACTAATCTACTTCACAATATTTCTTATGAGAACAAATTCTGTCAGTACTGGCACCTGAACATACTTCTGGAGTGAAAAAATATCGTTAACCGGGGGTCCACTGTAATTTGATAATACAGTATTATGCAACTTCAAGGGAAGTGCTAGGATGCTGAAGGTCTCATGATCTAAGAAACACAATTACCCTTTCACCATCCACTGCTCCGCTGTTATCCGTAACCTATTACTCATCCACCTCCCTTTTGCCACCTGATGCCCTCGCTTCCTTCCTGCCCTGCAGCGCTGTATAGCCCTTGTGGCTTAGCGCTTCTTTTTGATTATAATAATAATAAGAAACATGATTACTATTATAAAAAAGCACTAAACCTACTAGGGTCATACAGCCAAGGAACAGGAGCTACTCTCCCTTTCAAACCAAATTCAAAATTTTAACCTAAGTCACTTTAAAACTGTCCTGATAGCATTAAATCAATTCAGCTAAAACAGAAGACACTGAACATCCCAGCATTAAACAAATGTATTACCAAGACTAATGACAGTTGTCTCTAAACTATACCTTCTCACTTATGTGACTGCAGAAAACTTAGGGGGTTTTGTTGATGTGTGGATCAACAACACCTCAAAGCTTTGATTCCTGAATGGGTCTTGTCATCCTTTCCAACATTAAAGGGGCTAGTATTACAGCTTCTCTTCACTTAGCGACATACTCGTTTACAGACGACTTGGACTTGAGACAGGCTCACTGACCAGTATGCATCCCTAAATGTCAGTGCGACTTTGTAAATGGTCCAAGTCAGACTGAAATGTCGTCGTAAGCTCCTCTCTCCCATGTGCTGGTTATTTGTGTATTATCAAAGACAGTTGACAAACCCATTACCATTATAGTATGCTCCCCGTGTAGTGACGAATTCGCCTACCAACGTAGTCTTAGTGAGGAGAGGCTGTATTTCAAATGCCTTAAAGTGTAATTCTGGAGTAGCTACTACCACCAGCCTCTTGATCTAGGGAATTGGATCTGTGCTCCAGTTCCCTGAAGTGAGCCTGAATACCTTCCACCCCCCACCCCCTGCATGCACTGTACAATCCTACAGGTTTAGCGCTTCCCTGTGATTATCATATCACACTACCACCAGCACTAGGAACTTGACCATACAGTGGGTGTGAGAAAGTATATGCAAGGAGACAGCCAAAGGTTTGGCATATTCATGTCAGTGAGCATAAACATGCCTGCCATACTAAGTTTATAAAATACAGTAGAACCTCTACTTGCGAGCGTGTCCACGTGCGAGTTTTTGCAAATACGAGCAGTCGATGGGTCGATTTTTTGCTTCCCTACGCGAGCAAAATTTCCACAAGCGAGCAGACCTCAAGGCAGGTTCCTTGACACTGGTGAGGGGCTCTTGTTCTTGATCTCGAGAATTGTATCTCATTTGTTTGTTGGACTATCTTACTGAAACTTGACTTAGCGCTTCTTTTTGATTATAATAATAATAATAATATTGAAACTTGGGCAATGTATGATGGAAAGATGCTTCTTAACGTACACCAAAAATGAGAGAAATCTAAGCATAAACAATGGAGTTCACTTCTCAGCAATTAGCCACCCCTTAGCAGTAATTTTGAATGGTTTTTATGGTTGTATTCTCATTTTTTTTTGGGTCTCATTTGATAGAATAGAAGATATATTTCAGAAATAGATGCGATATTGATTGCTTTCACGACGAAAAGTGCTTTGAAATTGAGCTCAATCTAGGACAAATGGTCAACTGCTTGGCTGTTTCAGAGTCGTGAATGGGATGACATTTATACAATTATTGCAATAAGGAATAACAGTAAATCTTATATTTTTTGTGTGAATAAAAATTACAAATTATATAATATGTATAATAATATATATATATATAATAATAATGTACTACATATAATAATTATAATAGATGGCTTCAAAAGGTCATCACTTGATGGCAGTGTTTACCACAACAATGAGGGAGAGGTTGTGGCCACCTCCACCTGTTACACAATGACATTTTATTCATTCTAGCGTATATATGTTTCTATGTTATTCATATTGTTTATTATGTCATATTAGATGAAGTGAGAGATAAATAAGCCGTAGAGTTGATATTAGCAAAATTATTGAAGTACAGAATTCCACTGGAATGGATTAACTGCATTTCAATTAATTTAAACGAGGAAAATTGACTCTGTAAACGAGCAAATCCAGTTGCGAGCAAGGTCATGGAACGGATTAAACTCGCAAGTAGAGGTTCCACTGTACTAGTTTTTCACAAACATTGTCAACTTCTTAATAAAATGGAATGATGCTAAATTAATGAAAGATCTGTAAATATGTCACTGCCTTGAAACCAGCAATAGCCTTAGCAACAGTTGTACACAACATGCACTGTATGACCCTGATGGGTTTAGTGCAGAGTTATGATTATAATCATGTACATAACATGGAGCTTCAACATTTACAGTTTAGCACAACTGATTTTTGGACATCAGCAGTTGGCTAACATCAAATACAACTTGGAGCACCGTGCCTACACTACACCTGACTTCTAGTAGTATTATACATTTCTGTTTTTGTCTTTGTATTGGATTGATGAACAGCCTGGTGGGTGAAACATCAATTTAATAAAGCTACCTATGTTGCCCAAGTGTATGTTATAGCACCTTATTCCTGTATAACATGGAACTTTAGAGAAACAATTTTTTTTTTTTTTTCAACAAGTCGGCTGTCTCCCACCGAGGCAGGGTGACCCAAAAAGAAAGAAAATCCCCAAAAAGAAAATACTTTCATCATCATTCAACACTTTCACCCCTCTCACACAATCACTTTTTGAAGAGGTGCTCTAAATGCAACAGTTTAGAAGCATATACGTACATATAAAGATACACAACATATCCCTCCAAACTACCAATATCTCAAACCCCTCCTTTAAAATGCAGGCATTGTACTTCCCATTTCCAGGACTCAAGCCCGGCTATATAAAAATAACCGGTTTCCCTGAATCCCTTCACTAAATATTACCCTGCTCACACTCCAACAGCTCGTCAGGTTCCAAATACCACTCTTCTCCATTCACTCCTAACACGCTCATGCACGCTTGCTGGAAGTCCAAGCCCCTCGCCCACAAAACCTCCTTTACCTCCTCCATCCAACCTTTTCGAGGATGACCCCTACCCCGCCTTCCTTCCCCTACAGATTTATAAGCTCTCCATGTCATTCTACTTTGATCCATTCTCTCTAAATTACCAAACCACCTCAACAACTCCTCTTCAGCCCTCTGACTAATACTTTTATTAACTCCACACCTCCTGATTTCCACACTCCGAATTTTCTGCATAATATTCACACCACACATTGCCCTTAGACAGGACATCTCCACTGCCTCCTCGCTGCAGCATTTACAACCCAAGCTTCACACCCATATAAGAGTGTTGGTACTATCATACTTTCATACATTCCCTTCTTTGCCTCAATAACATTTTTTGTCTCCACATACCTCAACACACCACTCTCCTTTTTTCCTTCATCAATTCTATGATTAACCTCATCCTTCATAAATCCATTCACTGACACGTCAACTCCCAAATATCTGAAAACATTCACTTCTTCCATACTCCTCCTCCCCAACTTGATATCCAATTTTTCGTTACCTAAATAATTTGATACCCTCGTCACCTTACTCTTTTCTATGTTCACTTTCAACTTTCTACCTTTACACACACTCCCAAACTTGTCCACTAACCTTTGCAATATTTCTTTAGAATCTCCCATAAGCACAGTATCATCAGCAAAAAGTAACTGTCAATTCCCATTTTGTATTTGATTCCCCATAATTTAATCCCACCCCTCTCGGGAACACCCTATCATTTACAACCCCATCTTTTTTTTTTTTTTTTTCAACAAGTCGGCCATCTCCCACCAAGGCAGGGTGACCCAAAAAAGAAAGAAAATCCCCAAAAAGAAAATACTTTTATCATCATTCAACACTTTCACCACACTCACACATTATCACTGTTTTTTGCAGAGGTGCTCAGAATACAACAGTTTAGAAGCATATACATATAAAGATACACAACATATCCCTCCAAACTGCTAATATCCCAAACCCCTCCTTTAAAGTACAGGCATTGTACTTCCCATTTCCAGGACTCAAGTCTGACTATATGAAAATAACCGGTTTCCCTGAATCCCTTCACTAAATATTACCCTGCTCAAACTCCAACAGATCATCAGGTCCCAAGTACCATTTGTCTCCATTCACTCCTATCTAACACACACACGCACGCTTGCTGGAAGTCCAAGCCCCTTGCCCACAAAACCTCCTTTACCCCCTCTCCAACCCTTTCGAGGACGACCCCTACCCCGCCTTCCTGCCCCTATAGATTTATATGCTTTCCATGTCATTCTACTTTGATCCATTCTCTCTAAATGACCAAACCACCTCAACAACCCCTCTTCTGCCCTCTGACTAATACTTTTATTAACTCCACACCTTTTCTTAATTTCCACACTCTGAATTTTCTGCATAATATTTACACCACACATTGCCCTTAAACAGGACATCTCCACTGCCTCTAACCGTCTCCTTGCTGCTGTATTTACCACCCAAGCTTCACACCCATATAAAAGTGTTGGTACTACTATACTTTCATACATTCCCTTCTTTGCCTCCATAAATAATGTTTTTTGACTCCACATATACCTCAGCACACCACTCACCTTTTTTCCCTCTTCAATTCAATGATTAACCTCATCCTTCATAAATCCATCCGCCGACACATCAACTCCCAAGTATCTGAAAACATTCACTTCTTCCATACTCCTCCTCCCCAATTTGATATCCAATTTTTCTTTATCTAAGTCATTTGATACCCTCATCACCTTACTCTTTTCTATGTTCACTTTCAACTTTCTACCTTTACACACATTCCCAAACTCATCCACTAACCTTTGCAATTTTTCTTTAGAATCTCCCATAAGCACAGTATCATCAGCAAAGAGTAACTGTCAATTCCCATTTTGAATTTGATTCCCCAAAATTTAATCCCACCCCTCTCCCGAACACCCTAGCATTTACTTCCTTTACAACCCCATCTATAAATATATTAAACAACCATGGTGACATCCCTGTCTAAGACCTACTTTTACCGGGAAGTAATCTCCCTCTATTCTACACACCCTAACCTAAGCCTCACTATCCTCATAAAAACTCTTTACAGCATTTAATAACTTACCACTTATTCCATATACTTGCAACATCTGCCACATTGCTCCTCTATCCACTCTATCATATGCCTTTTCTAAATCTATAAATGCATTAAAAACTTCCCTACCTTTATCTAAATACTGTTCACATACATGCTTCAATGTAAACACTTGATCTACACATCCCCTACCCACTCTGAAGCCTCCTTGCTCATCCGCAATCCTACATTCTGTCTTACCTCTAATTCTTTCAATTATAACCCTACCGTACACTTTTCCTGGTATACTTAGTAAACTTATTCCTCTATAATTTTTACAATCTCTTTTGTCCCCTTTCCCTTTATATAAAGGGACTATACATGCTCTCTGCCAATCCCTAGGTACCTTCCCCTCTTTCATACATTTATTAAACAAAAGTACCAACCACTCCAACACTATATATATATTGCTGTATAGTCCTTGTGGCTTAGCGCTTCTTTTTGATTATAATAATAATCCAACACTATATCCCCCCTGCTTTTAACATTTCTGTCATGATCCCATCAGTTCCAGCTGCTTTACCCCCTTTCATTCTACGTAATGCCTCACGTACCTCCCCCACACTTACATTCTGCTCTTCTTCACTCCTAAAAGATGGTATACCTCCCTGATCAGTGCATGAAATTACCGCCTCTCTTCCTCAACATTTAAAAGTTCCTCAAAATATTCTCGCCATCTACCTAATACCTCCATCTCCCCATCTACTAACTTCCCTACTCTGTTTTTAACTGACAAATCCATACTTTCCCTAGGCTTTCTTAACTTATTTAACTCGCTCCAAAATTTTTTTCTTATTTTCATTAAAATTTCTTGACAGTGCCTCTCCCACTCTATCATCTGCTCTCCTTTTGCACTCTCTCACCACTCTCTTCACCTTTCTTTTACTCTCCATATACTCTGCTCTTCTTATAACACTTCTGCTTTGTAAAAACCTCTCATAAGCTACCTTTTTCTCTTTTATCACACCCTTTACTTCATCATTCCACCAATCACTCCTGTTTCCTCCTGCCCCCACCCTCCTATAACCACTAACTTCTGCCCCACATTTTTAAAACTATTCCAACTGTCTTCAACCCCCCCACTACTCATCTTTGCACTAGCCCACTATAAATATATTAAACAACCATGGTGACATTACACATCCCTGTTTAAGACCTACTTTTACCGAGAAATAGTCTCCCTCTCTTCTACACACCGTAACCTGAGCCTCACTATCCTCATAAAAACTCTTTACAGCATTTAGTAACTTACCACCTATTCCACATACCTGCAACATCTGCCACACTGCTCCCCTATCCACTATCATATGCCTTTTCTAAATCCATAAATGCAATAAAAACTTCCCTACCTTTATCTAAATACTGTTTACATATATGCTTCAATGTAAACACTTGATCTACACATCTTTAGATATCTTCTTTCAACAAACCGGCCATATCCCACCGAGGCAGGGTGGCCCAAAAAGAAAAAAAAAGTTTCTCTTTTTAAATTTAGTAATTTATACAGGAGAAGGGGTTACTAGCCCCTTGCTCCCGGCATTTTAGTTGCCTCTTACAACACGCATGGCTTACGGAGGAAGAATTCTGTTCCATTTCCCCATGGAGGTAAGAGGAAATGAACAAGAACTAGAAAGAAAATAGCAGAAAACCCAAAGGGGTGTGTGTGTATATATATGCTTGTACATGTATGTGTAGTGTGACCTAAGTTTAAGCAGAAGTAGCAAGATGTACCTTAAATCTTGCATGTTTACGAGACAGAAAAAAGGACACCAGCAATCCTACCATCACGTAAAACAATTACAGGCTTTCGTTTTAACACTCACTTGGCAGGACGGTAGTACCTCCCTGGGCGGTTGCTGTCTACCAACCTACTACCTAGATCTTTAGATATATTCTTTATTATAGCCCAATAGCCCTTTGAGAGGGATGCCTTGATGGTATAGAGCACTTGATCTGAAATTGAAGTCCACCTCTCCTATACATCAAGCCTGACTGTCTTCCATCCTTCATGCACTGCAGGACCCTTACGAGTTTAGTGCTGCTCCATAATTATAATATTAATCTAACAAGAGGAAAATAAATACAATGTTTACCTCAGCATCTGGTTGATTTTTGTGAAAATGGTTCATGTTCTTGAACTGTGTTGAGGAATTCTTCAGAACTGTCTTTAGAGTGTCGACATATGCTGTACCAATGTCAGTTTCATTCAAAGTCAAGTCACCCTGAAAGTAAAGTTGTACGTTTAACTAAGAAAATGTTTATTAAACACAAAGACAGTTTACACAAAAAAGCATAAACTACAGTAAAAATTTGAACCAGGTTATGCAGTAAAATTTAGGATTAACCCTTTCATTGTCTTGTACACAGATCTACGTTATGGACACCAGGGTCACTTGTGTGAATCTACGTTGCGAGTTCAACTCCCTCAAATATACTGCAAGTGGTAAATTTTGGCATGACAGGAGAGAATGGGTCTGTGTGGCAAGTGTGCAGTGTGAATCTAAAATGCCTGATAACATTTACACCATCATACAGTGGAACCCCGAATATTGGCCGCTGTGTTTATTGGTCAAATCATATTTAGGCTGGTGTTTGGGCGGAAATTTTGCTCCGTATTTGGGCCAGTGCCTCTCAAGTCAGCCGTATTATACGCATCAGCCCGCCTCCCGCTGGGATGCCATGCATTGGCGAGTCAGTCTCCCTATGTCTCAGTGAATGAGCATATACTCTGAACATTCATCCAAACATTTCCTTAAAATCCATTGGTTTTTGTACTTTTTTATTAAGTGCAACTGTGAAATAAGCCACCATGGGCCCAATGGAAGATGCAGAGGCAGGGAGTGTAGCAGGGAGGCAGGAAGTGTAGCAGGCAAGCAGGGAAGTAAACCCAGAGAGGGTTTTGATACCTGAAGTCTTTATGGAGGGGGATTCCCCTTCCAAACAATAATCAGTCCTCCCTCTCTCCCCCTCCCTGTCTTCTATAAGCCAACAAGAGTCTTCAATAAAGGTATGTAATAGTGATTTAAATGTTCATTTATTTATTTTATTTAGTTCTCATTGTTTTGTGTATGTAAAACTATAATTCATCCTTAAAAAATGGATTAATTGTATTTACATTAATTCTTAGGGAAACATTGCTTCGAATTTAGGCCTACCTTCTGGAACTGATTATGGCCGATATTCGGGGTTCCACTGTATATAAAGTGCTTAATACAGCTTGGCATAAAAAAATAAAAAAAAAAAAAATAAAAAAGTAAAAATACACATATAGCACTGGTTGCCCCCTTCCCTTACACAACTGCTGTGTGAAAACGACAAAAAAGTGGAAAAAGTACCGAACATAACAATTGAAAACCACTGAAAAGAGGGTGCCGAATACATGGAGCCCCTCCTGTATACTATACATTATCAAAATATTCCATATAATGCATGGTAATCAGCCATGAATATGGCTAAGTGACTTCACATGTAATCTGTTGCCTACATGATGACTGGAGAGAAGAAGAAAAAAAAAAAGTACATATCTGTCCTAAGGCAAGCTGGGTGAACCAATCAGCTTTTAGACCTGTAAATAAGCAAGACACGTGTGCAACAGTTAGGTATCTTATTCTGAAACCTTTTGCCTACACAGTAGGTAGGCTTACTCAGTTCAATACAGAGGCAGCAGCAGCAGCAGTGGAGAAGCAGAGACGATGTAATCAGTCCATCACCTTCGAAGATGAAGTTTTGAGATGGGCAGTCCTTCAGCCTGGAGAAGGAGCTCTGCTCCACAGTCTGCAACACTGAAGCTGAAGCATCAGAATGGAAAGTTGTATATTGCCAAAAGTGAGGCACAGAAAATCTTGAAGACAAAAGAGACAGGACCCACTATTAAAAGAATGTAATAATTGAGAGGCAGTGTAGCAAGCCCACTGGGTAGATCCCTCTCAAAGCCAGCCTTTCATTCATAACTAGTGGTCAAGCAACAAAGTTGTCTAAGATGTCCTTTGTACCAAGATTCATCTTCACTGCTTTCTCTGTATTCAACTGAAATAGCCTACTGTGTAGTCAAAACATTTTGGAATAATGATACTTAGACTTTTGCGCATGCGTCTTACTTATCAACTTGTCAGTATTATACACCATTATTATATTCACAACTCTTAGACCTATGCTGAAATATAATGTTTAAATTTCAGTAAAATACATGTATTTAAATTCACTATTGTGAAAACTAGTTGAAATAAATGTAAAACTACGTACTAGCAATTGCCTCTTTATGCATCATACTCCATAAGCCCACCATTGTTGTATGACCCTGGTGGTTTAGTGCTTAGTTTTGATAATCCGTAAGCCCAGCCCCAACTTCAATGATTTTTAGTAGAAAAAACAAGAACTCTAACAAAGGTCCTATCAAATACATCATGTTATCAGGGGCTCTGGTGGCCTGGTGGTTAACGCTCTCGCTTCACACGGCGAGGGCCTGGGTTCGATTCCCAGCCAGAGTAGAAACATTGGACATGTTTCTTTCAACCTGTGTTGTCTATGTTCCCCATCAGTAAAATGGGTACCTGGGTGTTAGTCGACTGGTGTGGGTCGCATCCTGGGACACTGACCTAAGGAGGCCTGGTCACAGACCGGGCCGCGGGGGCGTTGACCCCCGGAACTCTCTCCAGGTAAACTCTCTCCAGGTCTCTCCAGGTAATCAGTCAGTATTATGGCATCCAACACTTATCAGTATTTCCAACAACCAACTCAAGAGTTACATACATACACACTTCTGCATTTATCAAAAGATTTTGTGCTTAAGAAACAGAGAAACTCGCCCACTAGTACAGGCATCTGTTAGAGCCTGTGGGGGAAAGTGACAAGACGTACATACGAGAAAAAGCAAGATTCTACAAACCAAGAATTTGTGAACACAAATAAGTTTATTAACTCTGAGAACTCATAACCCAAAAAGCCATTATGTCTGGCTTCTTTCCATAGGGATTCTTCGAGCATCTTTCCTAGGATAAGACCCACAGCAATTGACTAACACCCCAGTACTTACTGCTAGGTGAATGAGAAGCAGCAGGTGTAAGAAATTCCAACATATCCAGCCATCCCAGGTGTGGACTCAAGTTCTTCAGGAGTGAGTCAAAGGCTCTACCATTTGAGGAACGAAGGATTTTAAATACAAACTGATAGAAAGCATGTCCAGTTCTATACATATGCTGAGGATTTATTGTGGACTCTAAGCAAAACCAAATATGTAATGGGTCTGGCCAAAATCAATCTGCTAAGCAGAAATATCTTTATTACAAATAAATCTTCATCTTTCCTCCCATACAAACTCTTAACATGGTCAAGCAAATACAGTATGTGTAATCTCAAACATCAAAAAATTCTATAGTGATCTGCACTTCAACCCTTCAAGAAATTGTGACTAGTACTCCAACCCTTATTTCCAATCCATTTATGCAGTTCATATTCACATCAAAGTGTTAAGTGTCATATCTACTTAATTGTCTTTACTTAGAAATAATGATATTTAGAGTAGCCGTTGCATGTAAAACTATGCAAAAACTCCTGCTGAAGTTTTAAGTGATGGCTCGGAGTTAAATACATAAGCCATGTGCTTGGGTCTCTAAATTTCAGCTGACTACAGTACACCCAAAAACAAAGAAATAGTAAACTGAAGATTATCCCATAGTAGGAAATAGTTAATTAAAAAATATAAGTAATCTTTTTACATACCTTTCCTGAGAAAGTAATACTATTAAGCAAGTTACTGTCAAATGTAAAACCACGTTGGAGCAGCTTCTTCAGGACATCAAGTCCTTCTTCCCACTGCTTATCACTTGCCTCCAACAGAAACTTGGCCATACCAGGACGCTGCACATACTGACTTCCATACTGCTTGCTCTGAGGGTATATATCAATAATTTAAGACAATACAGTACAGTCATGCCAAAAGAAATAAGCGTTATAGTGTGACTAAAAGGTAAAATTTTAGTATCGAGGGCAATATTCAAATCAAAATTATGTCTTATAACTAGGAAGAGCCAGTTGTGAGTGTGAGGAAAGTTTGTGAGGCAGTGGGTAGAATGAAAGGGGGTAAGGCAGCTAGGATTGATGGAATAAAGATAGAAATGTTAATAGCAGGAGGGGATATAGTTTTGGAGTGGTTGGTGCTATTATTTAATAAATGCATGGAAGAGGGTAAGGTACCTAGGGATTGGCAGAGAGCATGCATAGTTCCTTTATATAAAGGCAAAGGGGATAAAAGGGTGCAAAAATTATAGGGGAATAAGTCTGTTGAGTATACCTAGTAAAGTGTATGGTAGAGTTATTACTGAAAGAATTAAGAGCAAGACAGAGTAGGATAGCAGAGGAACAAGGAGGCTTCAGGAAAGGTAGGGGGTATGTAGACCAAGTGTTTACAGTGAAACATAGGTGAACAGTATTTAAATAAGGGTAAAGAGGTTTCTGTGGCATTTATGGATTTGGAAAAGGCATATGACAAGGTGGATAGGGGGGCAATGTGGCAGATGTTGCAGGTATATGGTATAAGAGGTAGGTTACTGAAAGCAGTGAACAGTTTTTACGAGAATAGTGAGGCTCAGGTTAGAGTACGTAGGAGAGAGGGAGATTATTTCTCAGTAAAAGTAGGCCTTAGACAAGGATGTGTGATGTCACTGTGGTTGTTCAATATATTTATAGATGGGGTTGTAAGAGAAATGAATGCTAGGGTCTTGGCAAGAGGTGTGGAGTTAAAAGATAAAGAATCAAAAACAAAGTAGGAGTTAGAAGATAAAGAATCAAACACAAAGTAGGAGTTGTCACAGTTGCTCTTTGCTGATGACACTGCATTTGGGAGATTCTGAAGAGACGTTGCAGAGGTTGGTGGACAAATTTGGTAGGGTATGTAAAAGAAGAAAATTAAAAGTGAATATAGGAAAGAGTAAGGTTATGAGGATGACAAAAAGATAAGGTGACGAAAGATTGGATATCAAATTGGAGGGAGAGAGTATGGAGGAGGTGAATGTATCCAGATATTTAGGAGTGGACGTGTCAGCAGATGGGTCTATGAAGGATGAGGTGAATCACAGAATTGATGAGGGGAAAAGGGTGAGTGGTGCACTTAGGAGTCTGTGGAGACAAAGAACTTTGTCTGTGGAAGCAAAGGGGGGAATGCATGAGAGTATAGCTGTACCAACACTTGTATGGGTGTGAAGCATGGGTGATGAATGTTGCAATGAGGAGAATGCTCGAGGCAGTGGAGATGTCACGTGTGAGGGCAATGTGTGGTGTGAATATAATGCAGAGAATTCGTAGTTTGGAAATTAGTAAAAGGTGTGGGATTACCAAAACTACTATCCAGAGGGCTGAGGAGGAGTTGTCGAGGTGGTTCGGACACAGAGAGAATGGAACAAAACAGAACGACCTCGAGAGTGTATAAATCTGTGGTGGAGGGAAGGCAGGGTAGGGGTCAGCCTAGGAAGGGTTGGAGGGAGGGGGTAAAGGTGGTTTTGCGTGCGAGGGGCTTGGACTTCCAGCAAGCGTGCGTGAGCGTATTTGATAGGAGTGAATGGAGACAAGTAGTTTTTAATACTTGACGTGCTGTTGGAGTGTGAGCACAGTAACATTCATGAAGGGATTCAGGGAAACCGGCAGGCCGAACTAGAGTCCTGGAGATGGGAAGTACAGTGTCTACGCTCTGAAGGAGAGGTGTTAATGTTGCAGTTTTATAACTATAGTGTAAAGTACCCCTCTGGCAAGACAGTGATGGAGTGAATGATGAAAGTTTTTCTTTTTCGGGCCACCCTGCCTTGGTGGGAATCAGCTGATGTGTTAAAAAAAAAAAAAAATTTACTTCATTGTGTGAATGAGATAGGTAGCCAGTTTCTGATAAACTCAGCCCAGTACCATTCCTTGAGCTGTAGCCCAACACTCTTAGGTGTAACATAGCTTGATTGCTAGCGCACTCAGCTTACACACCGAGGTCTGGAGATCGAATCCTCAGTGTGCCTGGAAAACATTAGGATGTGTTTCTTTAACCCCTAAACGGTCCAAACGTATATATATATACGTTTTAATTTTCCTGCCTCCAAATTTGGCACGACTGGCCTAAGATGCCTCATCAGCATAGAATGGGTCTTAACACTTGGTGTGCACCATATTAAAAAAATCTGGGACCACTTAGTACCTTGTGGTAGCGCCAGTTAAGTTGAGTGCCAGCACGAGCAAACAGTGCAGCAAACACCAAGGATTCACTGATGTAATGTCATATTAACACTCTCCTTCTAAAAGGAAAGTGATGTTAACCCCAAGTTTAGGGTCTATCTCTGTGTCTGTCTCTGTCTATCTGTATCTCTATCTCTTTGTCTATCTGTGTCTGTCCGTCTATCTGTCTGTGTCTCTGTACTCACCTAATTGTGGTTGCAGGGGTCGAGACTCAGCTCCTGGCCCTGCCTCTTCACTGATCGCTACTAGGTCCTCTCTGCTTCCTTAGCTTTGTCATACCTCATCTTAAAGCCATGTATGGTTCCTGCCTCCACTACATCACTTGCTAGGCTATTCCACTTCCTGACGACTGACTGAAGAAGTACTTCCTAACATCCCTGTGACTCGTCTGAGTCTTCAGCTTCCAATTGTGACCCTTTGTTTCTGTGTTCCCTCTCTAGAACATCCTGTCTGTCTACCTCGTCTATTCCATGCATCATTTTGTATGTTATCATCATGTCTTCCCTGACCTTCCTGTCCTCCAGTGTCATCAGTCCGATTTCCCTCGACCTTTCTTCATAGGTCATTCCCCTAAGCTCCGGAACTAGCCTTGTTGCAAACCTTTGTACTTTCTCTAATTTCTATCTGTCTCTGTCTGTCTATCTCTCTCTGTCTGTCTGTCTGTCTGTATCTCTGTATATGTTTCACACGTACACACAAATACAATTACAGTGGACCCCCGGTTTGCGATGCCATCGGTATCCAATAAATCCGGTATTCGATACATTTTAACGCAAAATTTTGCCTCGGTTCCCGTTAAAAAACCCAGTATACGATTCATCTGAGATGTGTCCACATGTGTGCCAGTGTTTACAAGCCAGCCAGTGTGCTCGCATCTAAGGATACATTCGGTACATTCCATATTATCAGAGTGTTTTTGGTGTTTGTTTCTGCAAAATAAGTCACCATGGGCCCCAAGAAAGCTTCTAATGCCAACCCTGTGGTAAAAAGGGTGAGAATTAGTATGGAAATTAAGAAAGATTTTGAAGGGTTTGGGGCTAACCCTGAGAAGCCTATGCCAGTTGTGGAATCCATTGTGCCTACTTCAAAAATTAAGGAAATGTGTGCAAAGTGGGTTGAACTGCAAACCTTTATGGATGAAAATCACCCTAACACAGCTATTGCAAGCTGTGCTGGTGACTATTACAATGACAATGTTGTGGCCCATTTTAGACAAATCGTAAAGGAATGGGAGGTACAGAGCTCTATGGACAGATCTGTTGTGCGACAGAGGTCCAGTGACTCTCAAACTGGTCCTAGTGGCATTAAAAGAAGAAGGGAAGTAACCCCGGAAAAGGACTTGCTACCTCAAGTCCTAATGAAAGGGGATTCCCCTTCTAAACAATAAGTTCGACACTCTCCCCTCCTCCCATCCCATCAATCATCACCCGATCTTCATTAAAGGTAAGTGTCATGTATTCTATTGTTAGTAGAGTACTACAAACTGTGCATGTCTTCTTCAGTTTGTGTGCATTAAACTTAATATTTCATGTGGTAAAATTTTTTTTTTTCGTACTTTTGGGTGTCTTGAATGGATTAATTTGATTTCCATTATTTCTTATGGGGAAAATTGATTCGCTTTTCGATAATTTTGGTTTACGATGAGCTCTCAGGAACGGATTAATATCGCAAACCGGGGGTCCATTGTATACTTCTTTCTTCTTCCTCCTTCCTTCTATACTCCCGTGTATCCAAAACATTGCTGGGACCTATAAATACTTTTATATATTCCTAGACAATAGTAAATGACCAAGGCACGTTTAAATGTCCACCTGTAAATATGTTTGACAATTTGAGTACAATTTCAGTACCTAATATTAGTGTCAGAATAAAAATTGGTTATGAAATGCCAAGAACTACAATAAATTGTCATTATCAGAACATAAAAATTATATAAAATAATAGAAACGAGAAAAAATGGTATACTGGCAACACTTCTTCAAGCGGCAGGACTATGTTGCCGTCAGGTAAGCATTAAGTGCCAACTTTGCAGCCTCATGTCTTAGTAAGTACTAACTCTAAGTTTTTATTTTAATCCTGTAACAAAAAAATTTCTCCATTTCAATAAAAAAAAAAACTTTTTATTTTTCAAAATATTCGGGGCACTGGGGGAAAGAACGCATATATACGTTTGGACCGTTTAGGGGTTAAGACACTTGCTGCCCATGTTCACCCATCAGTATAATGGATACCTGGGTGTTAGCAGACTAGCATGGGTCGCATCCTGGGGCAAGTGACCTAATCTGCCCAAAATGCTATGTATAACAAGTGGCTTTCTATGTAGTAGTATGTCATTGATGTCAGCTAGGCCATATACCTCGTACATGTACTTGTAGAAATAAAGATATTATTACGGGTTGGCCATCACTAATCCGGCAATCAGTAATCCGGCACTAATTTTGGCTAGCATAATTTAAAATTTCATCAGTATACTGGCTCAGAAATTGTGCAGATGGTTGTAAATCCAGAGCAGTAAGCCAGTGGAGGAGAAAGCAGTGATGAAAATGAGGAAGCTTTAGCAGAAAGTCTATTAACCCTTTCAGGGTCCAAGGCCCAAATCTGGAGTCACGCACCAGTGTCCAAGAAATTTAAAAAAAAAAATTTGTTATTTTTTCTTATGAAATCGTAGAGAATCTTTTTGTGAAGGTAATAAAACAAAAAGTACGAAATTTGGTGGAAAATTTACGAAATTATGCTCTCGCGAATTTTGATGTGTCAGCGATATTTACGAATCGGCGATTTTGCCGACTTTGACTCCCATTTTAGGCCAATTACATTATTCCAATCAACCAAATTCTTAGCTATTTCACTAGTATTACTTCTATTCTATCGATTGAGCACAAGAAATCGCCAAGTCAACTGTTTCAACTACAAAATAAAGTGATCGGAAATTGTTAATTTGGCCAATTTAACACAAAGTTCAAAATATTCCAATTTCAAAATAGGGTCCAGAATGAACAATGTAGGCATTCCTGGCACTAAACTAACATTTCCTCTGTTCATTAGTTATGTTTTGAGGCTTTACAAATAAATTCCATTTTGATTTTTTATTCACATAATGAATTTTTATTCACACCAAAAAATAGAAGATTTACTGTTATGCAATACTGTAATAATTGTATAAATATCATCACCATATTTGTGAATGTATATTAGACCCACCAGCTGACGTGTATTAGACGTGTGAGGTCGTTTGTTTCCTCTTGAATATCGGCAAAAATTTAACATTTCCGCTACTTTGAGCTCAGTTTCAAGCCATTTCCAATGCTAAAACCAATCAAAATCATCTCTATTTCTGTAATATGTCTTCCATTCTATCAAATGAGACCAAGAAATCGCAAATACAACTATAAAAAACATACGAAAAAACACTGCAAAGTTGCTGTTTTAATCGAAAAATCATGATTTCATTTTTTTTCTCTCATTATACACAGTGTGCTGTAGGATCTGTTTTATGTGGTGCACACATACCACATAGATGTATTCTCTCATATCTAGGCCCAAATGTACCACTCACAGTTTATCAGAGTGAGCTGAGCTCATGGCGTAGATCTACGGTTTGGACCCTGAACGTAAAGCCGTAGATCTACGGGACGGACCCTGAAAGGGTTAAACCATACCATGGGTGGGGTTTAAATCCGCGATCACAGTCAAAACTCCAGACCGTCACGTTAGCCACTGGACCAGCTAGCTTCAATAAGATTCATCCAATTAGGTATATTTCTACACCCTAGGAAGGTTAGCATAGGCAGCACTGACCACAAATGCAAGTTTTTGCAAATGAATCTCCCGTTAGCATGGCCGTGACAAACTCTAGCTCAAGTCCCCTCAAAGCCGTCAACATGACTCACGAAATCGTAATGACACTATTGCAAATAAACCATACCAAGGGTGGGGTTCAAACCCCAAGTGGAAATCAAAGGATTCAACACTTATTTCCAGTAGGGTTCTTTTGGTTCCATTGGGGCATCTCTTGGTTTTGTTTTCCAGGATGCAATCAACATGCCTCCTGAAACCCATGTACCTTATTGTACTGATAAGACAAACAGGGGTAACAGGTACTGTGTAAGGAAATATACCTAACATTTCCAACCATCCCAACATCAAACTTGGGTCCTTCAGATACGAACAAAAGGCATTAACAATGAGCCATGAGCCATGAGCCAGACAGTCACCAGGCTGGTGCTAAGGAGTTCTGGCTGCAGAGTGGGGGAACAGTAAGAAGAGGAAAACTGAGCAAGTAGGTGCATGGAAGACTACTTCTTGTGTTCTAGAGAATCATTAGAGTTCCAATACAGAAAGTAAATTATAATTTTTAATAAAATTATTTCATAAAATTGTGTAGCTTACAGAGAAAAGGTAACTGAGGGAATTTCCAAAATAATTCCCTAGGAGGTTCATCATATGCTGCCTGCTTGGTTGACCTTTTTCATATCTAGGATTGAAGAATCGGGACGGGACATCTGAAATACAAAAAAAAAAAAAAAAATGCTAGTCTAGATTATGAACCAATACTGAAGCTACAATTTGTTTATGAAGCTTAGAAAGATAATATACTATACTGAACACTTCTCAAAAATAATTATGGTAATTTACATTACAAATGAGCCCTGACTTAAGTACAGTAGCATATTTAAAGTTCCCCCAACAAATTTGCCCATATACAGTACTTTAAAGTGTTATGAAAGATCAATGTAATGCATCATTTTAATAAAATAAATCATTGTATATTATTTTTAAAATAGAAGTAAGTCATTTACATTGGCCAAGACAAGTTGCATTTTAATTGCCAAAATAAGCATTGTTTGTTACACCGAACAGAATGTGGCTAGTGTGTATGAACCTAATTTACCAACTAAAATTAAAACATTATTTAATTACCTTTTTTTTTTTTTTTAACTCGCCAGCCATCTCTTGCCAAGGCAAGGTGACCCAAAGTAAACGCACTCACTCAATTACTCTTTTTCCAGAAGTGTGCCAAAACCACTATCAGATTAATCTCTGGCTGCAGTATGCCCACCTCCAAGCCAAATCCAGCTAACTGGTTTCCCCGAATCCCTTCATAAAAGTTGACCTACTGACACTTCAACAGCCCATCCATTAAAAGCTACCTGTCTCCGTGCACTTCTAACATGCTCACACAAGACTGCTGGATGCCTAAGCCCTTAAAATTAATCTCTCTTGTACTCTCTCCTTCCAACCATTCCTACAATGACCCTTCCTTCCTCCTCCTGCCTTCTACCCCAGATTTCTACACCCTCATCAACCTATCTCTCTCCATCTTCTTTATACAGTGGACCCCCGGTTAACGATATTTTTTCACTCAAAAAGTATGTTCAGGTGCCAGTACTGACCGAATTTGTTCCCATAAGAAATATTGTGAAGTAGATTAGTCCATTTCAGACCCCCAAACATTCACGTACAAATGCACTTACATAAATACACTTACATAATTTGTCACATTCGGAGGTAATCGTTATGCGGGGGTCCACTGTATACCCAAAACACCTGAAAAAACCCTCCTCTGTCCTCTGAATTATACCTTTGGTTGTCCCACATCACATTTTTAATTTCTACACTCCAAATATTCTGCATTATATTCGTACCACAATTTACTCTCAAACATGACCTCCCCACCAGGCTTGGAATAATTACACAACTCAAAGTCAATTACAATGTCAATATTTCTTCCAGATTTTCACATACAATTTCATGAACAAATTACAATTACTGGATATTGCGTATTAAATTATTTTCATTAATTACTTCAAATTTTACTATTGTTGAAATCATTGTTAAATGTTTGAAATAAATAAACATTTTACTTCATATTCTGTATTTAAACGAAAGTACTTTAACAATGCACAAGAAAACCACCCATATGGATATTTGTTACACTAGATCATCCAAAAAACAGGAAGATGACAAATAACTAAATAAGCTTGTTTCACATAATGTTCATTGCTGCGTTAGCTAAAAGACAATGTTTAACGAGTGTTACATCAGAATGTACAGTTATGTACCATCTGACGTGTATTTTCATTCTGTCATTAGTCCATCATAGTGCCCCAGTTATATGATGTAGTTTCAGGAAGTATAAGTTTGATAACAGTCAATTACAATAAAAATTGCAATTCCTGTACTATAATTAAAAGTTCAATTACAATTAATAAAAAAATTAATTATATTCAGCATCATTTAAAATTACTCTGAGTCTGATAATTACTGCCTCTAGCAACACTAAACCCATAGGTGTTTGCAGTTCCTGAGGAATGGGAGGTAATTAACTTCAATCCAAGAAAGGGGAGGATAGTTCTAGTTCCTTGAATCGAGAGCCTTTCACCAGCATCAACACATTCCTTCCCTGCCCCCTCCCTTTTTTAAGGAAATAGAATTTGTAGATCTATCTTTCAACGCGTCAGTCGTATCCCACTGAAGCAGGGTGGCCAAAAAAGAAAAAGAAAATTTTATCTTTATAAATTTAGTAATGTATACAGGAGAAGGGGTTATTAGCCCTTTGCTCCAGGCATTTTAGTTGCCTCTTAAGACATGCATGGCTTACGGAGAAAGAATTCTCTTCCACTTCCCCATGGAGATAAGAGGAAATAAACAAGAACTAGTAAGAAAAGTGAAGAAAACCAGAGAGGTGTGTGTATACATATGATAGTACAGTATAACTTCAGTTTTCGTTTTTAATTCGTTCCAGAAAGTCTGACGAAAACCGAATCAAATAATGTAATAATGTAAATCCAATTAATCCTTCCAAACACCCAAAGGTATTAATAAAAAAAATACATTTTATAGAAAATAACTATGGTTTTACATACAGAAAACAATGAGAAATAAAATATAAAGGACTAATGAAATGGATAAATGAACATTTAACATAACTTTTACCTTTATTGAAGACTCTTGTTGGCGTATGGAAGACAGCAAGGAGGGAAGAGGGAATCCCTTCCATAAGGACTTCTGGTATCAAGTCCCTATCTGGGGTTACTTCCCTTCTTTGTCTTTTACTGGCACTAGGACCAGCTTGAGAGTCACAGGACCCCTGTTGCACAAAAAATCTGTCCAGAGAGGTCTGTTTCTGGCATTTCTAAGATTTGCCTAAACTGGGACAAGGCATTATCATTGAACATGTTGCAGACAGGGCTTGCAACAGCTTTGTTAGGGTGATATTTCTCTGCAAAACCTTTGCAACTCTCTCCACTTTGCACACGTGTTAATCACTGAAGAAGGCATATTCTCCCCTCTCTCTTTCTCCTCCTCTGAAGCAATTTCCTCAGCTGTGATCTGTTGCTGTTCCAGTTGAAGGTGTTGTAGCTCTTCAGTGGTCAGCTCTTCCCTGTGGTCGTCCACCAACTTCCACATCCTGGCCACTCACATCCAACCCCATGGACTTCCCCAAAGCCACAACAGATTCCACAACAGGCGTAAGGTTGTCTGGGTCAGCCTCAAACGCTTCAAAATCCTTTCTTGAATTCTATTGCGATTCTCGCCTTCTTTATCAAAGGGCTGGTACTCGGAACTTTCTTTGGCTCCATGGTGGCTTATTTATCAGTCACACTCAATAAACAAGCACAAAAAACAGTGGATTATTACAAAATGTTTCGTATGAATGCGCAGGGTAATGTTCATTCGACGAGAAACAAAGCCCAACTGACTCAGGACATGTGCATGGGATGCTTTGTGTGGGCAGGCAGGCAGGCAGACACGTTTGGTATGGTAGATGAAAGCCAAGGTGATTAACGAAAACTGGGACAAAATTTTTACTAAAAAAGTCATTGAAAACCGAATTCGACGAAAACGAGGTTCCACTGCACATGCAAGTGTACTGTGACCCAAGTGTAAGCAAGACATGCCTGAAATCTTGCACGTTTAAGAGAAAAAAAAAAGACACCAGCAATCCTACCATCATGTAAAACATTTACAAGCTTCCGTTTTACACTCTTGGCAGGACAGTAGTACCTCCCTGGGTGGCTGCTGTCTACCAACCTACTACCTATGAATTTGTAGATATGTATGTACGTACACTGTACTTGAAAAATAAAATATACTGAATAACTTTTATAAAAATTTGTCTATTACAGTATTGCACTTTTTACACAGCCAATCTAATTTTTTTTTAACAAGATACATCATTGATAAATTTTGGGAATTTTTCCTACTCCCAAAGCTCAGCCTTGGGCCAGGCTCTTCTGGTGCTTGCCATGTCAACCAGGCTGTTGCTGCTGGTAGCCACAACCTAGCTGATCTGGCATCTGGAGAAAGCACTTACATGTATCCAGTTTCCTTTCGAAGGTTCTACATTTGTCTCAGTAGTGTTTCTCATATCTTCTGTCAACACGCTGAATAGCCTGGGGCCAAGGATGATACAATGTTCCTTTACTGTGCCCCTGGAGCCCCTGCTTTTCATTAGGTTTATTTTGCACTTCCTCCCATATCTCTCACTCCAGTATGTTATGTCAGTATGCAGATTTGGGACAAGCCCTTCAAGTACTTTCTAGGTACATTTAATCATGTATCTCTCTCTCATCCAGTCCAGTGAGTACATATTTAGGCCTTCCATGATAGCAGCACAGAGTTCAATGTATGTATTATAGCCTAGTTGATCAGGAACTGACTTGAGGAACTTATCAAATTCCCCCTTGATAATTCTCATGTTATAGAGGGAAAGATTTCAAGAATATTGGTCCCTTTACACTTGTTAGATTACCTCTTAGTGTACTCACTTGTTCACAAAACTTAAAAATACATTGCAATGTAAAATATCAAACATAAAATATACGAAATAAGCTGTAATGCAATTCAGTAACTACAAATTAGTATACCATCGAGTGAGTTGGTGTTGTGCCTGTTTTGTGGTTCCTTTACTCTGTCAGGGAGGTTGTCACTATCTGGCCCTGCCACAACCACGAGAGACATCAGAGCCATGCACCATACGGCACATAACAGTTGCATCTGTAAATATAATGCAAGTACAGTATAATATTTCCTGCAAGTCTGATAAGAATCATGTGTTTATTAAGCAAAATTTCTTCAGCTATAAAAAATTATAAAACTAATTTTGTGCTAAATAATCTTGCATAAATGATGAATAGAAACATTATTTCATTGATAGTTGGGCAGATTGCAAGCGAGTACAATACCAGTATTTACAAAACCCACAGGATACAATCATTTGTCAAGTCAAGTGCCATTGGGTCTAGCTAGTAACATGATCACTAGTCACAGCCAGACCCTCCCATTAATTCATACTCAAATTACAATTTTCTTTCTAACTTATTTACATAGGTTAATCAATGATATAAGATTGCAATAAAATAAAAATATTTATGTTATGTTAGGGTAACTGAAAAAAAAAAAAAAAAAAGTCCTAAAATTTACGTACTTAAAATAATATTGCTTAATTAGGTATCCCAAAGGGGGACCTTGAATGACTGGAAGAAACAAAAATTTTGATAGTTTCAATTTTATTTTGCTCCTAACACAAGAAGGCATCATTTGATCAACTTCAAATTTTAAACACTTGTTTACCTTGAGGGGGTTCCGGGGTTCAACGCCCCAGCAGCCCGGTCTGTGACCAGACCTAATGGTGGATCAGGGCCTGATCAACCAGGCTGTTACTGTTGGTCGCATGTAAACCAACGTATGAACCGCAACCCAGCTAGTCAGATACTGACTTCAGGTGCCTGTCCAGTGCATGCTTGAAGATAGTCAGGGAATTATTGGTAATCCCCCTTATGTCTGCTGGGAGGCAGTTGAATAGTCTTGGGCCCCTGATACTTATTATGTTGTCTTATGCTAGTGGCATCCCTGCTTTTCATTGGGGGTATGTTGCATCGTCTGCCAAGATATTTTGCTTTCATAGGGAGTGATTTTCATGTGCAAGTATGGTACTAAACCCTCTAGGATTTTCCAAGTGTATATGATCATGTATCTCTCCCAAATGTGTTCTAGGGAGTACAGGTTGAGGAACTTCAAGTGTTCCCAGTAATTTAAGTGTTTTATCGCAGTTATGCCTGTCGTGAAGGTTCTCTGTACATTTTCTAGGTCAGAAATTTCGCCTGCCTTGAAAGGTGCTGTTAGTGCTCAGCAATATTCCAGCCTAGAGAGAACTAAGTTTCATCATGGGCTTGGCATCCCTAGTTTTGAAGGTTCTCATTATCCATCCTATCATTTTTCTAGCAGATGCGATTGATACAATGTTATGATCTTTAAAGGCGAGATCTTCTGACATGATCACTCCCAGTGTCAGTATAGCTACTGAATTCCCCTATACGTATACTTGTGTAGTATACTGTAGATCGTATCATCCATGTATATATTTAGGTTCCCTTTCAGTAGGCTCAGTGACTAGCATGTGTGACGTCATGTGATGCCGTTGCGAGTGCTGCAAGCTCACTGCGCACTCGTCCTCTCTCTCAGTTCTCCATGCTTAGGTCTACGGCCAACACAGACAGTCTGGTCTCCCCCCTCTCACACTCTGCTAATATACGTGTTAACATCCAGCGACTGTGTAACTCCAACCATCACATCTCCACGAACCCTCCCAACACCAGGTCTTTTTCGCTCTACTGTGTGGTTGAAATTTGTTTTATACTGCGATGTAGTTTTGATTTCCTCATATTTTCCATATCGGAGTAATTGAAATTTCTAATCATTAAACTTCATGTTGTTTTTGGCAGTCCATTTAAAGATTTGGGTGATGTCTGCCTGAAGTCTTGCAGTGTCTTCAATGCAAATTCGGGCGTCATCTGCAAAGGAAGACACGGTACTGTGGCTTATATCCCTGTCTGTCAGATATGAGTCAGATATGAGGATGAGGAGCACAATGGGAGTGAGTACTGTGCCTTGTGGAACAAAGCTTTTCACCGTAGCCTCCTCAGACTTTACTCTGTTTACTACTACTCCTCTTTGCGTTCTATTTGTTAGGAAATTATAGATGGTAACCAGGGCAAGATTCTTGTAAAACTGGCATGTGTGGGTGCAACATGATCAAAGTTGTAGAGCCCATTCTAAGATTCCTGGAATGGTTCCGATAACTTTCAAAACTCTCTGCAGCTTTGTTTCAAACGATAGGTGAGAGTGAAAGTCAAGTGTGTAGGTGCTCATTTGCCCATTTTGTGGCAAAAGTGAAAATTTCATTCCCATTAATTCACATTAAATATATTTTGGTGTATCTCTTTTGATTGGCTTCATTAAAGTATCTTATGGACACGATGGTATATATTAAGCTTAGTTTGTGTAAGGGCAAATTTGTCAGTATAGTAAATTATTATTATAATAAAAAAGAAGCGCTAAACCACAAGGGCTATACAGCGTGTCAGTATAGTAAAATCGTTTAAAGTTTGGAGTTGTTGGAATTTGTGCAGTAACGAGAGAATTTCTCTTTGGATTATCTATGAATTTTCAACAGTAGTCTGGTTTCCTGACTGCAAGATTCACCTTATGGTGGCCTGTGGCCTGGTGGCAAAAGCTCTCGCTTCACATGGTGAGGGGTTCGATTCCCAGCCAGGGTAGAAACATTAGGAGTGTTTCCTCACACCGGTTGTCTATGTTCACCCATCGGTAATAATGGGTTCCTGAAATGTTCTGCATACCAACTGGCTTTCTATGTAGTAATGTCACTGATTCAGCTAGACTGACTACACGACTCACGAAATTGTAATGACACGACCGCAAACAAACCATACCACAGGTGGGGTTTGAACCCGTGGTCAGAGCCTCAAAACTCCAGACCGTCGTGTTAGTTAGTTTAGTATCTTTAGTATGCACCCCATACCCATCCTGTGGGCGGTAGTCAAAAGATTACAGAGGTACATAATGGGTCCAGGGACTGGGCCCCAAAATTTTGATAGCTGAACTATGCATGAAGGTAATGAAATCACAAGTTACAAAGCCACTGGGCTAACACGATGGTCTGGAGTTCTGAGACTGACCGCGGGTTCAAACCCCACCCGTGGTATGGTTTGTCAGCTAGATCTGTATATCTTGTACATGTACTTGTAGAAATAGAGATATTATTACTGGGCAGCAACGGGCCCCAATTTGCCAATTTTATTAAATAGCAATGTTTATTTACATTTGATAACTTAAGAATGCCTCCTCTGATTGGCTTCAAAATATTTATACTGATGCACTCAATAAGAAGGAAGAATGCCCATTTGCCAAGTTTGATTATAATCATGAGGGAGCACGAAACCCGTAGGGTTATACAGTGCAGTTTGAAATTTTACCAACATTGTTAATAAAAACTTGAATAGGATTCTAAGCAATTACCGTAGAATGCACTATCTGAAAAAATTCGAAAGTTGATCTTTCTGGGTGAAAAATTTTAATTTGTACTGGACTCTGTCCTAATTTGCCATTTTTATTAAAGAAACTTGAATATTAGTTTCCATGTGATAACTTGTGAAAGTTCCTAATTCACTTCAAATCTTCAATGCTAATATTCAACTGCATTAGAAACTTATGCTTCACTCTGCACTATTCCCTTCTCAAGAATTAAGGTACAGGGGATTAGGGTGTTGCAATACTGGGATATCTTTATCTGATCTCACAGTGACCAAAATACATCTTGCTTTACATAACTAACCTGAGAATTTACATAACCATATTTTTAATCATATTTACTCTTATGGGGGAAATAATCGTTTAATTAAATAGTAATTCCCTGGAGGGAAGAGGGTGCCTCGAGGCTAGTGAAGAGCTCTTCATCCAAGAGAACTGGATCCATACCTTAAGTTTGTTGGAGCAAAAACGTGTAACCACAAGCTGAACTATATGCCGGTAGTTTTCATCTTCAAATAAGCACTATTATCGTTCCAATTTATTTATTCAAGGCTTCACGGTTGCCTAGAACATCAGGTCTTTTTTTCAACCACAAAAACTTGTCTCGTGTTAATCTATGTGTTGAGTTTTCAGAGTGCGTCATTATATCCAGTATTGATGACTAAGACAGCCGGGTATCTGTTGTTGGAACTATAACGTTCCAGACCACAGAGCTGAACTCTTCCCCAGGCTGAGGGACTGGTCACCTCAAATAGTATTTATCAAAGGTTGATGGACTGATTACATTATCTTCATTTCAGTACTACACCTGCTGCCTCTGTATTTGACTGAAGAAGCCTACTGTGTAGGCGAAACGTTTCAATAATGAAGATAGCCAACTGTCGCACACGTGTCTTAATTATCAACTTGCCAGTATTTTATATAATTTTCGACATATCCAGTACTGTTAAGTCCCTCAGCTCTTTGCTTCGTAATTCCTTTCTCAACACAGGCACTGTTCTGTCTCACTCCTTGCAATCCCAATGCAATGGCGTGCTGAGTTTCCAATAATGTACACTGTATTTATGGATTCATACGCACGAATGTATGTAAATATTGAAGCACTTACGTAATTAGTAAAATTATTAAGAAAGACTTGGACGCAACACTGTTGCACTATACACATGGCCTCTTAAATGGTTAACATGAGGCGGTGCAATGATACTGAATGTTAATCTCGATGTTAATACCATGTATTGTTATTGTGAAATCAAGATGCATGTATCAGGATGCACACGTGCTTATTTAAATACACGGTTATGTATATACAAGCAACCGTGTTATACCAGAGTACTAATGTGTTTGGGTGTGCTCTGAAAACGAGTGTTATCTCTACTAGCAGAGTTTTTTATATATATTTTATTTAAAAACAATATAAATTATAAGGAGGTATAAAATAGTAAATAATATCACAATACAGGATATGAACAAGATTACGAATATTCACATCTCGAGTGCAGAAGCAAAATTTTGAAAACCTCATACAAAAAAGGAACGTGTAACAACCACGCAAAATATGTGGAAAATACTGTATATATTTTCCAGAAATTCAGTATTTATATGTAAATAGATGGCCATACTGTATTTAATAATATTTATGTCATAGAAAACGGAAAGCCTGCGTCTGC